GAGTGGTGGTCAGGAAGTGCTTGTCAGAGGATCAGAAGAAAAGGTCTTCCCAGGCAAAAGTGTTAGAATCCTTCTGCTCCCCCATCTTTTACTTTGCTCTTCCCAACAGTGGTGTGAATTTCAATCCTGATTGGCACATGTTTGAAGCTGGTGGTGGTTTCAACACAGAGACCGCGCTGGGGCAGGAGACCCGACTTGTACCCAGGTTTCCATCTGTAGGTGTGGCACACTCTGCTGCCAGGCACACTCTGCTGCACCACCAGACCAGGAGTCGCTGAGCTCCTCTTTCAAAATGATGCGATTTTGTAGACTATTTACCCAGTTGGTATTAAACCAATATATTACCCAGTACTATGTAACTGCCATCATTCCTTTAATGTTAACTGTTATGTTTTCTTGTAACTAAGAATGTATCTTAATAACTGAAAGATAAATGGTAGTCTTTTATGTAAAATTCTATACTTTGAATCTCATGAACATTTGTTACAATGATATAAGCTAAATGTTATCAAAAGTATAGGGCAGATACTGAAAACATGAATTAAACTAATTAATAGATTATTGCTTTAAGAAGTCCTTAGGAGTCATGAAGTAATGTTTTAAGTGTTGTTAAAAACTATTTTTCTCATTCCATTTCTGTATTTTTAAGATTCTTTAGCAAATCTTTTTGATAGTAATTACTAAAACATGGGTAGGAAATGAACTATTTAAACTATTATTTAAATAGGAGCATCTATAAAATAACACCTTCTATTTAGGTAGAAAATTGAGGCTAGCGGAAAGTTTTCTTTAGAAACTCTATGTGCAGAGGCAAAAAACATTGTTTTATTCCTCAATTATTAATGGATGTTGCCATAAAACAAATATCACCTATTTATTCCCTCACTAATAATCACAAAAAATAAGGCCTATACATTATGCTATGATTCTTGAATAGATGGACTGTTGCCTACAGCGAGTACTTAACAACTATGGAAATATTAAATTTCCTAACCCAAAAAACCAATCAGTGGAACTAGTGGGCAGACAGTAATTTGGATTCCCTACTGTTTGTGGACAGTATATCCTTTTATCAATAGATAAAGAGATTCCACTGTCACTTAGCAACAGAGTAAATTATTTTATGCAGGGGTTAAGATTATTCCTAGTTGTTATGGTTACCTGCAGTAGCATATGGACTGCATCTAAATTTGGCTTTGATGTAGACTGCCTATGTCACTCATATACCAACAAGGTGTGGAAAAAGTTTATTACTTAGTCTCTAGGGAGGGCCAGGCAGCCCTCTCACGCAGGTCTGAAATGACTCAAGAGGGAAAAGCTTGGGTATTCATTGTGACTGCTAAGTAGGTGAGAGTTCCCCTGTGAAGATAGGGGATTTGCATAGTTTGAATCTCCTGCTGGTGCCAAGAGTAAACAATCAGGGTTTCTTATCAGCTTGTCCAGATGTTGACACAAAGGAAAATGAAAGGGGGGACGGAGATTTAAAGCTGTTTCTAGAGAGTACCTGCACCAGGGATCTGGCTTACCACCTCTCCACCATCTTGTCAGAGGTACACCCTCTGCCTTGCTACAGGAAAATGGCTGGTCCTAAAACACACACACACACACAAAGTCACCAATCATATATCAAAAACTGGGGTCTGAATCCTATTGCATTAGTTTTCTTTCCTCATAACTACATAGAAGCTTTAATGTGGAGATGAAGACAGGTATTCAGAGTTCTTTCCTGGAGAATGACTTAGTATCTCCATGTTATCATTTAAAGAAACAAATTATCTCTATAAATGTGTGTGTTGATGGGCATTTATTTTTATTTCTTGACTACTGTACATTCTGCTGCAATATACACTAGAGTCATGTCTAAAAAAAAGTATCTAAATACAATGGAATGTCTTGTGATCATGAGAATGGACATCCCATCATTTTCAACAATGGGGAGAGAGCCTGATGCATTATGCTAAGTGAGATTAATCTGAGAAAGCAAGTACTATATGATATCATTAATATGTTCAATCTAAAAAAAAAAAAACCAACTTACAAGAACAGAATAAAATGATGGTTACCAAGGGTTGAGGCTGTAGGGATAGCATAGGTATATGATAGATTTTACAAGGGTTTAAATTTGTAATGAGTAGTAAATAAGTCCTAGAGGTTTAATGTATAAATAAAAGATAGTACTATAGTAACTGAACATGCTACGAGACCAGAATTTATTCTATCCCTTAAAAAGAAAGGATAATTATGTAATATGTGAAAGATGCTAATTATTATTACAGTGGCAATCATAAATACATCAAATTAATATGTTGTATACTTTAAACTTGCAGTTATTAGTGAAATATATTTCAGAAAGCAAAAGTTAATTTCTTAAAATATCTAGAACTTTTGATGTAATCAAACCAAGATCCGTTTAGGAAAGACTGCCATCTTAACAATATTGAATCTTCTGATAGATCAATATTGTGTATCTCTATGTAGGCCTTAAATTTTCTTTGAATGCTTCATAATAGCAAAAGATCTTAAAGATATTCTTAGGTATCTTTATTCTTAGATAGTTTTGATTCAGCTGTAATAGACTGTTTTATTGTCTTTCATTTTTTTTCTTTTTTTGAAACATGCTTCTATATTACAGCTTAGAAAGTGTTTAAAAGATTCACACATATTCAGTTTTATGTCATACACAGTACACCCATCACCAAGGCACCCACAGTCCTCCACCATTGTCTGTTGGGGGGCTTCTACACTTTGTTCCCAACTTCTCATAACCTCCTTTGGTGACCTCAATTCTGCAGTCAGGTTTTCAAGGTCTTTTTTGATTTGATTTGGTTTTGTCTTTTTTTTTTTTTCTTCCTCCTCTATATTCCATATATGAGTGAAATTATCTGGTATTTGTTTTTCTCATTTCATTTAGTATAATTCCCTCAAGTTGTATACATTTGTCATAATGGTTAACAATTCATTTTCTTTTTTGCAGCTGAGTAGTATTTCATTGCGTAAATATATTACATCTTCTTAATCCATTCATCTGTCCTTGAGCACTTATGTTGCTTTGACTATGGTAAATCTCGCTGCAATAGATATATGTGCATTTTTATGCATATATCTCTTCACATTAGTGTTTTTGGATTCTCTGGGCAGATACCTAAAGTGGTTTCCATAGGTGCTGAGCTAGTCTAATTCCCACCAATACTGTACAAGGTATTCCTTTTCTCTACATCCTCAGTATTGTTTCTAGTCTTTTTTGGGGAAAGCCATTCTCATGAGTGTGAGATGATCTCTTATTGTGGTTTTTATTTGCACTTTCCTGATAATAAATGATGATAAACATTTTTGTATGTAGCCATTGACCATCTATATTTTATTGAGACATTAGAATTGTTTTTTAATGTATAATGTTCTTTTCATTTAGATAGAAATAAATTTTTTTGATCTTGCATTCTCTAACCATGTTACATTCATTTTATTAGTTTCAGGAACATTTTCTTGGTCTCATCACAATCTTTTTTAACCTAGATTACTATGTCCTCTGCAAATAGAACCAATTTCATTTTATTAAAAAAAATATTTATTTCTGCATACAGAACTGGGTACAGGCCAGAGGTGCAGGGGCGGTGAGAGTATTCACCAGAGAGTGGGGAGCAGAACAGGCAGATCAACAAAGTACACTGCTAAGGAGAGCGGCAGGAAGGTCAGGAGAGGTCTGCCGCACCATTGGATCACCTCTGGGGCCGGGGGTAGAATTGGCACTGTAGAGGCATTGGCCAACTTGCAGTGCAGCACTGGAACCCACTGCACCACCAGGGTGGGTGCTAGAACTAATTTTAATTCTTCCTCTTGATCTCCTGTTTTCCCAGTTTGCTATGAGATTTTATTACGAAAAACTTTTTGAAATTTGTTACTTTCCTGCATCAAAATAATCGTGTTTTTTTTAATAGTATGTTAATAAGATGAATTATTATTTGATTTTCAGTGTTAAACCAATTTTGCATTCTTGGTCATACTATGTAAATCTTTAAATATATTGTTACATGGCAATGGTGATAACTTTTGAGTATTTTTTTTAAATCTATGTTCACGAGGTATATTAATCTGAAGATCTTGTTTTGTGTGATGTTTTGTTATCAGGAGAAATGCTGCTTTCATCTAATGATTTGGGAAGCTTTACTTCCTCTCAATTTTCTGCAATCATTTTGTAGAATTGGAATCTTTTTCCTTCAAATGCTTTATAAAATTCTCAAGTAGTGTAATTTATACTTTTGACAGGGCCCCCACCTAGGTGAGTGGAAGGGCGTCTGCTTGATTGGTCCCACCCAGGCCACCTGGACAGTGGCTGCAGTGGTCAGCAGAGGCTCCAGCACCAGAGGCAACCCCCAAGTCTCCGGCTCTAGCCTGGGGCTGCTCATCACTAGGGTTTGTTTTGATTCTTTGTTTTCTCTTTCTTTATTTTACTCATTTTGCTGATGAATTATTTTTTATTTTACTTAGTTGTCCGTGTTCACTTGAATTGAATTTAGTTTCCTTATGATTATTTTGAATTACTTTTCAGGAAAATCATTGACCACCATTTTATTAGAATCCATTACTAGCACTCTTATTATTTACTCTTCTTGGAGTGACATTCCCCTTAACTCTTCATGATCCATGGAGCCTTGCATTGGTTTTTATGTGTTTGTAGGAGCAAGTATCTTCTTCAGCCTTATTCAACATTTCACAATCTTCTACCTTGATCCTGAAGCTTCCACAAAGGTACTTGTGTCTGTAGATGGATACCAAATGTTGTTTAGGGAGAAAAACTTTAGAGAAACATCTTATTTAGCCATGATGCTGACTTCTAATGCTCTGTAATATAATTTTTATCAACTAGGACTAAGATTTTTCAACTTTTTATTTACAAAAATAACAAAAAAGCAAACATTGGATGCTAATTAAAATAGCTTCTTCTTTGTCCTTAATATTAACACTAATTAACATGTTAGAATCCTTGACTTTTATTACGTCAGATTGGGGAGACCTGGTGTTGATTGTTATTGCCAACATGAAAGTGGTGCAGCTGTCCTGCAGCTCCAGTTCTTGATCAATGAGGTAAGACTTTTGATTATTTCTCTCTCTTCCTATCTCTCACACATGCACACAGTATTAGGTAATGTGTTCTTATCATTCTAAATGCTTCATGATATTTTAATGTTTTTTTTATTCATTATAAAAATTTCAAAGAACGCACTCATATTTGTCAGTTCATTAAGTCAAAAAAATTTCAAGAAAAATGGTACACCAGAAGTTCCTGTTATTGTGGTTGTGTAGCATAATTTATAAGTTAATTATTTAAATGGTTTTAAGTCACTAAAAATCTCTTGTTTCATTGTTATGTTCCTGCTACATAATTTCATTAACTTAAATTTTTTAATTAACTTCATGTTTTGTCATTATCTTCCATGACAATATCTTTTACTTACTTACCCATGACCTTTTACCTATATATATTCCTATATGAGTTTGTTAGTATACGTATATATTTATATACATCCATAGCTATTATGACAACTGGTTGATTATATAAACCCTATTTTTATAGACTTGTGGTATTAAAGAACTCCCTCAAGACAAACTCTGTATTTATAAAGCTTAGAATGTTATTTGACTGTAAAAATTTTGACTCTGATTTGTATAGGAGACCCTGGAGTCTTCCATAGCTTTTTTTTTTTTTTTAAAAGATTTATTTATTTATGCTTACAGATCTGGGGTACAGGCCAGAAGTGTGGTGGGTGAGAGGATTCACCGGAGACAGAGTGGGGAGCAGAACAGGCAGATAGACGAAGTACACTGCTGAAGGGAGCAGCGGGCGGGTCAGGAGAGGTCTGCCGCGCCCTTCTATAGCTTTTTAATGCTAAATTAGCTTTCAGTGCAAAAATGCTTTAAAAAATTGTGCCAAACCAAATTCATGCATTTAGCAGCACTTTTGTTTGCTTCCATAGATTTATGTATATACCTTTTCTTAAGCATTAATAATCATAAAAAGAAATGGGTAAAATGTTTCATAGAAGTTAATATTCATTATACCTGAAGCTTGAAAAAAAATGTGATGTTGGAAAATGCCCACTTTTTACTTTTCTTGGCTCAAAATCTTTCTCAGGAGACTATAAGATACCCCTTATTAATGACCTAGCTTATTTCACCTTGTAGGCATACTTGCTATTGGGTATAAAAATGAGAGATGAAGTGAAAACCTTTTTTAAAAAATTAACTTGTGGCCCTCCTTGGTGGTGCAGTGGGTTAAAGCACAGCACTAAGAACTTAAATCCACTTCCTCATGAGTTCGATTCCCACCTGCCCCGGAGGTGACCACATGGCGTGGCAGACCTCTCCTGGCCCGCCTGCTGCTCCCCTCAGCAGTGTACTTTGTAGATCTGCCTGTTCTGCTCCCTTCTCTGTCTCTGGTGAATCCTCTCACCCTCTGCATCTCTGGCCTGTGCCCCAGTTCCATATGAATAAATAAATAAATCTTTAAAAAAAAAAATTAACTTGTAGTAAACAGTCATTAATACCCAGAGTGACAACCTTTTTGATGTTTCTGTTTTTCTGTAACTCCAAATTGAGAGATCACCACCTTTTGCCTTCTACATGCATGATACTGAGAAGCACAATTTGTTTCCAGGTGATTTTTCTTCTGGGTCTGAGCCTCTGGGAATTCTTTCCAAGCCTTTAAGCTTGTCTCTGTGCTACATAATTAAAAATAAATAATGACAAGCCTTCAACATCCGCCCATTGTTTGTGTTGTCAATCCTGAGATCTCAAACTCATCTTCTGTACCATTTTCTAAGCTTCTTAGTTTCTGACCTGATGGCTTGTTTTTATCCAGGTTTAGTACTTCTATAGGTTTTTACTAGCAGTGGTTCATGTAGATTCACTTTGTTTTTGTTAATGAGCCCTAGACACCTAAATGATGTAATTACTTTTATGTCTTGGATGCTGCTGTGCTCATGGTTCTGTGCACAGTATTGTTTTTGTAATTATACTGTACTTTAGCTAGACCAATTTTTTTTTTACAGATGTTTTATCTAGATAAAGTTTCTTGAACTATAAAAGCAAGTTACAGTGTAGCAAATATGCCTTTAAGGAAGAAACTATACTTCCCCAATATATGGAAAGATCTTTAAAATGGTCGATTTTTATATGACCAGATTGCAATTTTTAAACTGTTTTAATTGTTGTATATGTATCTAAAAAGTTATATAGTATTGGTATGAACATAGAAACAAAACAAAACAAAAAACAGTTTTTCCTAAAGAAAACACAACTCTTTAATAGTCACAGTGTTTACAATGCTTTTCTGAGTCATTGGTAAATGCATATTCCTTGACATTCCTAGTTGTTCTGACCCTTGCACTTGCTTCTTCTACTCAGCATTCTTAACTTCTCTGATCAAAGTACAGGATAGGGCCTGCACAACTGTCCTTCGTATTTCTAGGTTACATAAATACCAGTATCTCTTCCACCAGTGAAAAACTTAGTATATCCACTTGTTTTTGCTTCAAAGACAGAAAACACATTGAATTAAGCAAATCACTCACTTTGTCTTCTTTTTGGCTTAGGGTGCTTTGGTCAGTGCAAGTTCAGATGACACACTTCATTTGTGGAACCTGAGACAAAAAAGGCCAGCTATTCTTCACTCTCTTAAATTTAACCGAGAACGGTAAGAATGTATGAATTAAATAATTTCTAAATGTACAAGGAAATTTATTTCCTGAGCAAGTTTCGGGTTAACATTTGAAAATTTTTGTTTTCATAATCTTAACAGGTAGAAATAAGTTAATGTTTATAACTGACTTTTTTAATAGTTCAGTTTCATAGAAAATTTATAGATTCAGTCATCTTTTAAAGGAGATCAGGTAACATATTTGTTCACCAAATTTTAACCTAGAACTTCAGCAATGATGTGTTCTTTTCCTTCAATCAGGGTGCTGAAAGCACAAACCTAAAATTGAAAAATGAAGTAAACATTAAATGTGTTTCTACACCTTTTGATCATGGCAGTTACCTCCTATATCTTTACTCTTTTGCTTAAATAGTGAAATAAAGTTGTATTTATATGTATGGTGAGATAAAATGATGTCATTTACATGGACATTCTTTTTCTACATGTAACTTTCTTTTATTTCTCTTAAGTTTACTATACTTTTAATTCATTAACCCTCAATTTTCTGAGTACTATTCATGAGTATTATGTTTATTATGTATACATTTTAGGATCAACATCAATTTTTAGAGGATGGAATTTTACCATATATATATATGTATATATGTTATTTAGAACAATTTTCAGGATTATGAAAACTAAGGAACAGTCAAGAGTTATACTACTCCTATTTAGCACTGAAAATATTACCTACTAATAAGATGTTTCTATATTGGCTTTATCTCTTTCTCTGCTTGTAAGATTGTTTCAATAGTTTGAGTAAGAAAAAATCAGAACAGTTCTTTTCCCCTCACAATTAGAATGTTGAAAGAAATGTTCTGGATCCACTTATGGACCTTTTGGGGTGGAGGGAAGGAAATGATTTATAGTAATAATTTCCCTTTAAATCATAGGTACTTTGTGAACATTGCTTGCTTTAATTAATCCTTACAAAAATATGATACCTTTTTGAGAAAGATAAAATTCATTCGGAGGAATATGACAATAATCATACTGTCTTTAGAATAACCATTAACTATCACTTATTGTGGAGGGGAAAATATCATTAAATGGTGAATGCAAGGCTTTAATCTATTAGGAAAATTCAACCAAGCATCTTTTGAAACTCCAAGTCCAATTAATTAGTAACTCTAAATTTTCTATATATCCTCAACCTTATTTGTATATATCTTATACATTTTGTTTAGACAATTTGTGCTGTAAATTTTAATGCTTGTTTTAATGTACTCTCAGCCTTTGGTTTTATAATCTTTGAAGGTAGGACAGCCTTAGATAAATTGTTAGCTATTTCAGTTGCTTCTGGTGGATGATCCTTGGATTTCCTTCAAATATGATTATAAACGTAAATATGGAAGAGAAAGTGTTTTGGTTTCCATAGTGCATGATCTAAAAAATGAATAATATAAAACATTCACATTTTAAGGCTTAGTATTTGACATATTAAGAGCCTTTCTCTTACTGATCATAAATTGTATAATACTAGAGAAAGCATAGAGTTGTTTCATGTAATTCTCAAGTAAAATTTGAAGGCTATGCTAGCTAGACCTTACATTTCTTGTACATATTATATCAGGTTTTATCTTTTCTATCTGTGATGTTTCTAATTTTTATCAACAAAGTACTTCCAAGGAATTGTAACTAAACTGCAGAGGAGGAATATTTTAAGAATTCTAGTAATCAGAGTTGGCTTTAGGAGATACAATTTAAATTCTACTTTAAAGTATTTTACTGCTTAATAAAGGTAATTTGAATTACTTTAATTTTTTTTCTTTACTACCTACACATTTACTTAGTTTGACATTTAAAACATACAATTTATACAGCAAAAGTTCTTTCTTTTACTCCCATTCTCTGGATACTTAGTCCCCATCAGCAGAGGCAAGTAGTGTTACTATCTTTCCAGAGATACATTATGTACATATACAAGGAAAAATTAAATATAACAATTTTTGTATTAACATATATATAAATATAAAATGTGTTTCTTACATATAGCATATTATAAACCATTTTTACCTTTTTATAATATATCCTAAAGAGAATGCTAAACAGAATATAATATATTCTAAAGAGATCAGTACTGAAAAAAATCTTCTTTATTCATTTTTAGATGTGTTTAAGTGTTATGAATCATAAGGCAATTATAAATATTGTTTACACCTTGAAATCATTATATGTCTATGTAACACATGTACAAATCAAGAATGAAAATTACTGGTACCATAGAAATCCATCCCTTGTTACTTTCCAGTTACTTCCTTAACCCCAACGTGTAAAAACTCTCCTGATTTCAAACACTATGGATTAATTTTGTCTGTTGCTTCTGACATTTATAAAAATGTCATCATACATATAAGTTGTTTGCATATGTTATTTTTTTGCTCAGTATTAGAAGTTTCATCTATATTTCCTGTACCTGTAAATATTTTTGTTGTTAATTTGTAGTATTCAATATAACAAAAATTCTTCAATTTGGTTAATGTCTTCAGTTACCTTACTATTACTTCTATACTTCCATTTAAATTTTAGAAATAGGTTTTCAAATTTTACAAATTTACTGAGATTTTGACTAGAAATACCTTGAGTCCATGGGCCAGTTTGATGGGAACTGTCATTTCTGACAATGTATTATTCTTGCCAAATGACTGTAAAACTATGATGGTGTACTATGAAATGAATTCAAGTAGAATTCCAAGTAGAAGCAAGTACTGAATAAAATGCACAGATTAAGTATAGACATGGCAATTTAAAAGAACCTATCAGTCAGATCATATTACATTATATGATTACTTCTGTAAAATATTGTTTGGACATTAAACATAAAGTGAAACCCCTTGTCATCAAAAGTCTAGTTTGTCAGTAATAATAAGACATAAATGTAGTATTTGCCCAAGGAATAGCTCTAATTCTGATTGCATTCTCTTCATGTATTACATTGCTTTATTTTTTATTTTTTTTTTTACTATAAAGTCAATCGTTATAATTCTACCTCTTACTTCAGCAACACTACTGAAAACTGGGAGTTCTTAGACATTTTAACCGTGAAAATTGCTATGCAATACTGATATTTGCTATTTTTTTTTATCCAAACTCCTGTGTCTATTTCTATGTATGAATTGGCTTTTTATGCTGCAGGATAAGGGTCCAGTTTCATTCTTTGCAAATGACTGTCCTGTTTTCCCAACACCATATATTGAAAAGACTGTTTTGTGTCCTTTCTCCTTTGTATATTCTTGACTTCGTCACAAATTAATTGACCTTATGTGTTGGGTTTATGTCTGGGATCTTCTATTCCACTTACACTGAACTGTATCCTGATTTTTATACTAATACTATACAGTTTGAATTGCTATAGCCTTGGGATATAGCTTGAAGTCAGGTACAATACCTCTAGTTTTGCTCTTATTTGTTGAATTTGCTTTGTCTATTTAGAGTCTTCTTGGTTCCATAAACATCTTAGAATGTGAATAAGTGTCATTGAAATTAAATAGGGCTTACACTGAATCTATAGACTACCTTATTCTGCTTGAAATGAATAAGATCATCAAGCAAGAGATCCCATATGGAGGAAAATTGGTACTTTTAACTGCTTTAACACATTGTACCACCAGGGAGGGCCCAAATATATGGATTTTTTAAATCCCACTTATGCCACTTAATTACCAGTCCTAGGCAATACAAATAAAAAATTTTGGTATTAGGTTTCTCTTTGTAAAGTAGAAAATATGTCTGTCTCATATCATAATGCTATTTATAGAAGAAATGTATTAATATATTAATACATGTTAAGCACATATTTAATAATGGTTCTTGTCATTTTCATGATATCATTTTAATGATATACTATTATTCTATGCCTTCTATTAAAAACTAAATGATGTTTGAGTATATAGTAAGTTTTATTTATCACTACATAGAAAGTATAAGAAAAATATAATGCTGACCAGGTGTAAAATTTAGATATTTTAATTGAAATTTTCTTTCTTTCAGAATTACTTACTGTCATCTACCTTTCCAGAGTAAATGGCTCTATGTTGGAACAGAAAGAGGAAATACACATATTGTAAATATTGAATCTTTCATTCTTTCTGGATATGTTATCATGTGGAACAAGGCAATTGAACTGTAAGTTTGAACTTGAATATCACTTTATTTGGCTTAAATATTTCATATTATGATGTAACAATAAGTTATAGAGCTATTTGAAACATCATAACTAATTTATGATTTTTTTAAATAAGATAAAATACTTTAAAACCATTAAGACTTTAAAAATAGGGTCTTCTCTGGTGGCCAACAGGTTAGGATGCAGCACTGCAAGCTGGCCACATCCGCTTCAGTGTGTGTTCTATCCTTGGCCCTTGGGGTGATCCACATGCTGTGGCAAACCTCTCCTGTCTCACCCATTGCTCCCCTCAGCAGTGTACTTCACTGATTTGCCTATAATGCTCCCCACTCTGTCTCTGGTGAATCCTCTTACCTCTCCTGCATCTCTGGACTGTACCCCAGTTCTGTATGCATAAATAGATTTTAAAAAAGACTTTTAAAAATAGATATTACTTATTTAACTAACTTTAGACTTTGCAAAATAAATAAATACTATAAATAATTGTGTATGTAAATATCAATAGATGACTTTGGAACTCCATGAAGATTCACATTTGAGAGATTTCACAAACATAATGGTTATGTTTGCATTTTTTTATGTTAAAATAGTAAGACCCATTTGAAAAGTTATGTCTGAAAATCATTTCTTTATAATCAGTTTTGGTATAGCCACTTCAATCAGGAAGGAAAGTAAATTATTACCACATTTAGTTTTATATAAAAGTAAGCATGATCAGTGCATGTATTTTTTAATGGTTAGATGATAGCTTTTTCTGCTATTGCCTCATTAAAAGATTTTTCTTGCTTCAGAAAAGAGTCAATGTCTTACATATTCTGAATGTATACAACTATTTGGGTATGTATTTGATGGCTTTCCAGTTTGACTTTGGCACTGATATTTAAGTTTCTATACTAGAAAAATGGAAAAATGTGAAATCTCTCAAATGTGAATCTTCATGGAGTTCCAAAGTCATCTGTTGATATTTACACATGCAAAAAAATTCCCACGGTGTTAACCCAAAAAGCAATTTTCTTGAGTAAATGTTTATGTATTGTACATATTAGGTCTTTAATGATATGTTTGACTTCAGGCTAACATGTTTTACATGAGTTTTACAAACTCATATATGTATGTATGTTTATATATATTTTTAAGTTATATAATTATTTTTCTCCAAATCTTTTCTCCAAATCTCTCTTTAAAACATCCTATTTCATGAACCTTGACTCTGGCTTTTATATCTATTATTCCTGTTCCAGTGTGCATGTATATTACTTGATGGAAGATCATAAATCATTACACTCTTACAATATTCCTTTATATTCTTTATTAATGATGATTCTCCCAACTCCAGAACAGAATCACTATGCATTGCTCTTTTTTTTTCCATACTTATTTTGGTGCTTTCCACAAAGTGACTAGTTAACTAATAACATTGAAGAATTAGTATGATAGTTACTACTAGTGACTCACAGATTTCATTTATAATTCTAATTTATATGAACTGTTTTGTTCATCTGTAATCTAATGTTCTATATGTATATATTAAAACATTATTCCTAAAGACATGTCTCCCAAAAAATGTTGTTTACTTTTCTAATTTGGGAAAGAATTTTTCCCTATAATCTTAATCTTATAAAAATGATGAATAGGGCTGAGCTTAATGCTTTACAAAATAATATTCTTAGTCTATTGATTAAAAAGTACAGACAACCAAGAGAAAATCAAGTTATAGAACTTTCACACACATTTAACATTAGTACAAATAGTAGTGGATATATCACTTGTGTTCATTAGGATGCTGCTAAAGTAAAAAGAGCTTGTTATCTAAACATATAAAATATTTCACCACTCTAGTAATGTTGTTTTCCATTTTCATTTACTTAACAAATCCTTTTCATAGTTCAAATTAATACTACCTGAACTAGTGGGTTAACTTTCCTATATGTAGTCATAGTCTATACTATAATTATAAAATCAGGACAAATGAAGAGTTTAAAAATACATTATGAAGGAACGGTAAAATTAGGATATTTAAAGAAGCTTTATGTATTTTATTTTTCATCTTGTGATTTTATGCTATGACTCATCAGAATAGAATCTAACATAAATAAACTTGGTGCCTCTTAAAATGTCCTTAAAATAACCTCAAGAAATTATTAGCAGACAGCATTACCTACTGTTTCTTGGTTTATTTAGACCAGATTTCCAAGAGAGTAATTCCATGGATTTCAGTTCCATTGTGATATTTTTTTCTTTTAATATTTATGTGTATATTTTTATATCATTGTTCACTTTTGTACAATGCATGCTTTCTCCCCTCAGATTTAATGTCCATAAAATTCCCACCACCACATCCTTGCCAACATTTGTTGTTGCCTGTTGTTTGCCATTTTCACTGGTATAAGGTGTTATGTCATTGTAGTTTTAAACTCCATTTCCCTGATTAGAAATTACATTGAACAATTTTATAGACTGATTGGCCATTTGCATTTCCTCTATAGAGAAGTGTCTTTTTAGCTATCCTGCCCATTTTTTTTTTACTGGAATTTTTTAAAGACTTATTTTTATGTATTTATGCATATAAGAACTGGCGTGGAGACCACCGATATGAGGTGTGAGAGGATTCACCAGAGACAGTGTGTGCAGCAGTGCAGGTGGATCTATTGAAATACACTGTTGACTGAAATAAACTTGAGGGAAGCAGCGGAGTGAGACAGGAGAGGTCTGCTGAGACATGTGGATTAGCTCCCTGGCTGGGGATGGAACTTGTGCTGCAGTGGCTGCCAATAGCTTCATAGATCTGAGACTTAACTCCTTGTGCCACCAGGCAGGTCCCTGTTTAATCTGTTTTTGTTGAGTCATGTGAGTTCTTTGTAGATCTTTGTGATCAGTCATTTATCAGTTGTATGAAGTACCAAAATGTTCCCCCAATCAGTAGGGTGTCTCTTTGTTTTGGTTAATGTCTCTTTTGTTGTACAGAAACTTTTTAGTTTGGTATAATCCCAGCTATTTATCTTTTCCTCCATTGTGGTATTTTCAATTCCAATTTTCAGTCTTCTAGCCTCTAATTTGCTCTATCTCTTGAAGTACATTAGAAAGCACATGCCACTTCCTGTTTATGTGTCAAATGTGTAAGACAATAAGAGAATACATATTTAAAGTCATTTTGTCATTTTGTAAGTACAATTTTAAACAAATTTTAATGCATTTTCTAAACATGACAATGCAAAATTATCTGTAAGAGATATGAGGTTATTTCTATTTTAAACCCTTACTTGAAGTACTTTTCATGCAGTGTTTTTTTATCTTGCTCCTACCTTTAGCGAAATTTCCTAATTGCAATTAAGACAATTCCCAAAATTATTAATATCAGTGTTCCCAATATGTTACATTGATAATCTGAAACTGTTAGCACACCTTTGATAGAAATAGTGATGTTTGTAAAACGCTTCATAGAATAGTATTATAGAACTAAACTGACATTAAAAAATACTTCTATACGAACCATGTTATAGCACAAAAATAGCTATTTATTCAGTAAGCCCTAGCACTAGATAGCATATGTAACCTTTTTTTTTCTACCTGTGATTAAATTTGGATATGTTATTCAGAATTAAATGGCTTAGAGTTTGTATTTAGGTAACAGTCATTCAAACTTAGTCATTGAATACTATGATACCGTAAACCCTGTAAACAACTATGAACCTGGAAGATAGTTTCCTCTTAAGTCTTCCAATCTAATAAAGATGAAATTAAGTAAAAATTCTTTAAAACCATTGGAAATATCATGTGGTAATTCCATTAATAATGCCACTTAATATGCATGTGGGATCTCAGAGAGGTATCTGTGAAAGAAAGCTCTATTTATGAAGGGTGAATTTCAGTTAAATGAAGATTTTGGGGGCAGGGGTGAGGGTGTCCCAGGGAGAGGGAATAGGTTTAAATAATGGAATGTGAAAGTTTTTGTTCCATGCTGAGAGATTTTTAGTTTAGTTGGTTGAAAATGCTGGGGTGAGGATATGAAAGATGAGACTGAGGAGGTAATCAGAATATATATATATAAAGAAAGGCCTCATAAACCAATTTGTGAAGTTTGGACAACAAGGCCAGGAGCTAGGTTTTGAAGGCTTCTAAGCAGAAAATGGGATGTAAAATAAACATGCCAAATACCAGAGTAGAATAAATTTAATGTCAGATTGACAGAACATCAGTCTTTTAACAGCAAATTTTATAATTTTCTGATATTTGTTATCCTAGAAAACTAGCTAAATGACACACAACTAGTTTTCCCAATTTTTTAGCATAGTTTTAGTTTTCTGTAAACTTGCTATAATTAGAGTATTTTTGTAAGTCAAGGAGCCACTGTATGTTTATTTAGGAACAAATCAGATTTCATGTCAAAGGAAATCTAATACCAGGTATATATTTTACTTTGCAATTTGGTTGAAACAGGTTAAATGACCAGCCTTGTGACTGCAGAAATTTTCGTTTGTATAAGTTTTATTTCAAATAGAGACTTAGATCTGGTGAGGAATTCCATTTTATGTGAATCCATGTTCTTAATCATGATTTAAAAAATAAAATCAGACCTACCTTAGTGAACAGGAGAAAAAGGTAGTCTTAAAGAAAAATAATAAAAAATGCAAATGAATCTAAACTGGATTTCCAAATATTGGGAACATATTCCGGTGTAATGACAATTTCTTGTTCCAGTTTCTAATGGTAAGGTGTTTGAATGTTTTTGTTTTAATACTGTTTTGAATTAATTTAACAGATCTACAAAGACTCATCCAGGTCCAGTTGTACATTTAAGTGATAGCCCAAGAGATGAAGGGAAAGTGAGTATTACAGTACTATTACTTTTTTACTTTCCTCATTTTTGAAAAAGCTGTTTCTTACTGTTTATACCTAAAGTCTAGCACAATTCATAGCATTAAGTGTGATCTAAAATTAAAATATATTGAGTGAATGAGTAAGCAAATAAGTGAATGGATTACTTACACTGTAATGGTCCCAAATTAAGTATTTAGTTATGGCAGAACTAACGTTGATATTTAATTCTAGAATTTTGAGGAAGGCATGTAACATATGGAACAGTTTTAATTTTCAAATATCTGTGTTTGAACTTGTCAATATGAAAATCAAGGACTTATGTTTTTCAGTTTTGGTAATAAATGGCCAATATTAAATAAAATGTATTAAGTTAAATATTAAATACTAAAAAAAGTTAGTTAATCTTGTTTTTGTTAATAGGTAATGACATAGAAAATCCCAGATTATAGAAATAATTCTTATTATGTTAATTTTCTTTGATAATAATGAAACAAAGTTGATAACATCAAAAGACTGCAAGTATCATTTTCATTATAAATATTTCTTAAAGTGTATAATTTTTGCTAAGTAAGTACTACAGAAAACACTTAAGTGTTTAGCATAGATTTGATTCTTTCTTTATTTTTTTTTTTAAAGATTTATTTATTTTTGTGCATACTGGGGTACAGGCCAGAGACTCAGGGGTGGCGAAAGACTTTGCCAGAGACAGAGCGGGATGTAGAACAGGCAGATCAACGAAGTACACTGCTGAGGGGAGCAGCGGGCAGGTCAGGAGAGGTCTGCCTCGCCATGTGGTCACCTCCAGGGCAGGCGGGAATCGAACTCATGCGGAAGTGGTCTCAGCTTCCTAGTGCTGTGCTTTAACCCGCTGCGCCACCAGGGAGGGCCTGATTCTTTATTTTTAAAGGATAGAAACAGAATTAGCCTAAAAAGTATTGCGCCTGAAATGTAAGTGTGCATAATAGTAATGGAACAACAGTGGACTTCTCCAAATTAATTAATAAGTATCTGTTGTCAGAATTACTGTGCTAAAATTCATAAGAGAAAGTTTAAGAATAACCAAGACATTTTTTAAAAATAATTCTATTGTGATATTAATAGAAAGGAATACAAGAACAACAATAGCTCTAAATAGATAACCCAGAAATTATTTAGGCCTTTGGGAGAATTTTTTAGATTTTAGAAAGATATTTCAGAGCATTAATAAGCTACTGAAATTAATGGTATTCGACAACTGGCTGTACATTTTGAGAAAGTATTAATAGCTTAATTTCATACTGTTCACTAAAGAAAATTCCAAATGCAGAAAACACATAAATGCTAAAAAACCAACTCAGAAATTTTAAGAAGAAACTATAGAAACAGGATTGATACTATGAAGTAGGAACATGCTTAGGCAAGATATGAAACCTAAGAACTTTTAAGAAATTCACCATAACAAGACAATCGGGATAAGATGCAGAAAACAAAGTGGGAGAAAACATTTGCTAAATATGAACATGCAATATATACACAGAACTTTTTACTAAATCCTCATCTTTGATAGTAAGAAATCCACATAATGTCAAATAAAAAAAACAGCTATTATATTTCAAAATATGGAAGTAAAGTTAACTAATAGAGAATAAGAAAATTAAAAGTGGGAAAACCATTTATCTATAAAGTGCAGGTTTTGGCAGTCAGAAGGAAGTAGCCCCATCAATAATCACTATGACAATGCAATATACCATATTCCCCTATGAGACAGGGATAAAATTAAAAATAAAAAATAGCAATAATATAATGCCACTGAGAAATAGCATCTAGATATAGCAATATATACTAGTTTGAGTAGTTTAGCATTATCAACATTTAAAACGTGCATTCAGGCCCTCCCTGGTGGCGCAGCGGGTTAAAGCACAGCACTGAGAAGCTAAAGCCACTTCCGCATGAGTTCGATTCCCGCCTACCCCGGAGGTGGCCACATGGCGTGGCAGACCTCTTCTGACCCGCCCGCTGCTCCCCTCAGCAGTGTACTTCATCGAACTGGCTGTTCTGTTCCCCAGTCTGTCTCTGGTGAAGCTTCTCATCGCCCCTGAGCCTCTGGCCTGTACCCCAGTTCTGTATGAATAAATACATCCTAAAAAAAAAAAAAAAGCATTCATTTTGATCTAAAAAGTCCACCTTTCAGTGTCTATCCCATTTTACCCACGCAAAATATTGAAAACAACCTAAATGTCTGTTAATAGAAAATTGAATAAATAATTTTGATATATCCATGTTATGGAGTGCTGTTATGATTGGAAAGTTTAAGCCAATTTTTAAAAAGAATTGTACAACAGTAGCGTAGTATGCAACTACTTGAGTAATAATGAATGAACACTTTTATTTATATGTTCAAATGTCCAAAATAAACTTCAAAGGATATATATAAATCTCAGAGGATACTGGAGATTAGATTAGATTACACTAATATATTGAATAGTGTATAATATATTTATCTCTATTTTACTAATCTCACACTTCTTTAGTAATGGTAACTGCATGAAATGTCCTGCCATTGGATAGGCTCTCCTCCCTCTTCTCCCTCCCCCATCTTAACTTTTTCTGACTGTTTACTCCTGTGTGAATTTTTAAGATCAGGTTACCAGTTTCTATATAAATCCCTACCAGGATTTTGTTTGAAGCATGCACATTCTTTTTTTTTTTTTAATAATATAACAGTTTGTTTTTACATCACTTTGTATACTTTTTTGTTTTTATCTTAATTGTAATCCCTGTGGGCTTCCCATCACTGAATCACCCTTGTGAAACATGCACATTCTTAAAGACAATTTACATCATTGATTTTCTATAACATATATTTTACATTGGCTTTCTTTTTTTATATAGCTTTATAACTTTTCACAAATTTTACATGTATTTGTTAGCTTAATTCCAAGTACCTTGTTTTATTTTTCCTGTGAATGTCAGTAAAATCAATTTTATAGTTATTTTTAGTGTACAAAGTGTTGATTCTTGTTATTTTGTATTCAAATAAATCACTGAGTGTTTTATATTTGTTAACTGCCACATTATCTGGAATATTTTATAGAGAAAATCATAGTAAATACAAATTTTGTGTCTTCCACTGTTTTTATATATTCCTTTTAGTGGGTAGGAAGTATTTTTATATATTCTTTTTACAGTGTTGGCTAACTATATAGTGGCAGACCTTAAAGAAAGGGTTTTTGAGATTCCAGCATTAAGTAAAATGTTTACATTGGAGCTTTAGTTGGTTGCTTTCATGAAGTTAGAAAGTTTCTACTTATTGCTAATATCTTAAGATTTTTCAAGTATGAATGATGTTTGGTTTTATTGAATGTTTCTATATGTATTAAGATGATCCTTAATTTTTAAAAATACATTAACCATTTTTCCATTTCTGGGATAAATTCAACTTGGAAGGAGGAATTTCCCTTGTAGGCTTTTTGGTGAAGTGAAAGAAATTAGAGATGTTAAGTTTCCTTGAAAAAATACAGTGGGCTCTCCCTGGTGGCACAATGGGTTAGGACACAACACTACAAGCTGGCAGCAGCCGCTTCAGTGCAGGTTCCATCCCCTGCCCTGGATGTGATCCACATGAATCTGCCTGCTGCTCCCCTCAGCAGTGTACTTAGTCAATCTGCCTGTTCTACTCCCCACTGTCTCTTGTGAATCCTCTCACCCCCAGCATCTCTGGCCTGTACCCCAGTTCTGTATATGTAAATAAATGAATCTTTTTTAAAAATGCAGTATAAACCAGAAATAGATCACCTCTCCCTAATATTCCATTTATTAAACAAAATAAAAATTCATCTATCAAAGAGGAGATGGTACTCTTAAGCTGAGAGCACCTATATTGTATATCTCATTGAGTTCTGTTAGCTGCTATTTTTTTCCTGAACCCTTGGCTGCCTTGTTTGTTTTTGTTTTTTTGACAAGGATAATCAACTTTGTGCTGCTGTACCACTTCTTGAAGTTGACTAGTTATGCTAAGTCTGTGACTCCTCCTTTTAATTCCATATTCAGATAATGTGCTGTAATGAGATGGTAAAAAGGGATGTTAACTTGCCACAGAGAAAGCCGTGACCATGGCAAGAAATGAAAGAAAAATGTGAATATCTTAAAGGTTTGGTGTGGTTATCTTTTTCTACATTTACTGACAGGGGATGATGGCACAGTGACAGACTCTATGATATCCATGGGGATTAAATATAATGGATAAGTAGTAGCCAGCTGGCAATATGTAACCATCTGGCACTATAACCATAATTATCATAACAAGCAGCAAGGCTGGAGTGGCAATAATTAATATGTTTCTAGGAGCAAAAGTAGGCGAGTGGTTGACTAGGATGTTATTTGATTTGGATTGTTTAAAAAAAATCAAGAGTTTATCTCTGGACATTGACCACAAAAATGGAAAATCCTGTTACTTCACTTTTTTTTTTTTTTTTTTGCTATAAGTCAGATCACAGATCTAGAGGCCATTGATTGAAAAAAAAAAAACAAAAAACAGCTGTGCCCTGAGAAAGATCCTGAAATGGCTCTTCTTCTAAGTACATATAGAAATATAGAAACAGAAGCATCTTTGGTTACTTGGAGAAGTAACTTTTCACTTTTTCAGTACTGTTAGCTAAAAAGTCAGAGCAAATACTGATTCCAAGAGATCTAAAAATAATTCTGTCCCTACAGTTAATCATGATGTATGGCACTAGGTAACCAGGGAATAATCTGGTTTTAACCTAAGTCTCTTTGAGGTCTGATAGGTTTTCAGACACAACCAATTATATAACATGGCTGAGATGTATACAAAAGTTTCAATTAACATATAAATATATGCCAGCAAGCATCATTTATAAGCTATAAAACTATGCTATGACCAAGATATGCATACAATCAGAAACTAGAGCCTGACCAGTTATGCTGGTATAATGATTTGGATTTTATAGCCTCCAGAATTATGAAACATATATATTTGTTATTTAGTCATTTTCATTCTATGATATTTCTATTGTTGTAGCCTGAACTAAGATATCTACTTTAGTATTAGTATAATTGATCAATTTTCTTTGCTTAGAATTTATATATATCTTTTCCTATCCTTGTACATTCAAATATTTTACTACTTAAGTTATGTATGTCTTCTATAGCAGCAAGTTGTTGTTTAACAGTCTGTCAATTACTGTCCATTAGTTAGCCTATTAAATCTGTTTACAGTAAAGGACTTCCTATTTCCCATGTCATATATTTAGCACTATCACAATAATTTGTCATTTTGAGATTCATATTTTATATTGTGATTTAATGAGGCTATTGTTAATAGTAAAGCAACTTCTTTCATATGTTTACTTTGAAAGAATGTAACAGCATTTTAGGATATTTCATTATATATTAGAATGCAAATTTGAAAGGTTAGAATTTAATCATTTTTTTTTTGCTTAAGTCCTATTTCTCAGACTTTAGGTTTTTTAGATCTCCTTTGAATATGAAAAGTACATAGGAAATTTTTCTCATATTCATCATAATAATTGGCTGTCTTATTCATCATTGTCTATGGTATATGAGAACAGCTGAAGTTAAAACACTTCTCAGTACAGTATACATGACTATATAAAATATCATTTTAAGAGATATTCTCAGTGTTTAATTTTGACTTCCAGTTTAACAAGTCATTATATTGTTTTAATTTAGTAGTAAAGCATCTAATATTTTATCAAATTAGGTGTTAAAATTTATTGTGTGAGGTTTAAGTATGGTAACACTTTATATGTATGAACTGATATTTAAAATTTTTATTTTCTTTAAAAATACTAGCCAGTTTTATTGTTTTTTAAATGTTCTGTTGTAAAATGTTGATGTAAGTAATTAGGTCTCATTATGCCACATAGGTGGAAACCTTAGGTAATTAGAGTATAGCCACTATAGTTTCTGTTTTTAGCACTGTTTTTTGTAATTATTGAAATATCTTTATGAATAATATAATAATTTCATCAAAAATATATCATTAATGAATTTTAAGAAAATCAATAACAGGCAAATCAATGGGAAATATTATCATTGTTAAACACTGGCCTATTTTATGTTTTCTTTTTTAAAGATTTATGTATTCATGTATATAAGAACTGGAGTGCTGGCCAGAGGTGTGAAGGTGAGGGAATTCACCAGAGACAAAGTAGGTAGCAGAACACACAGAGTGAAGTACAATGCTGAGGGGAGCAGCAGGCAGGTGGGGGCAGGAGAAATCTGTGGGTCACCTCAGGGCTGGGAATTGAACTTGAATTGCAGTGGCTGCAGAAAGCTTCCTAGCATTGTGCTTAACCCGTTGCCCCACCAGGGAAGGCCCCTACTTTGTATTTTCTATTATTTTAACCAATAATACATTTACCTTTGGAATTAGATTTCATTAGAAAATATAGTACTGAAGTAGAGTACATTTGGCAAGTTTTTAAAATATGTGTACTCAGGGTCGGAAAAGTTGCTATTCTAAAGCTTTATTTTGTGTGGTGTTACTTTATTGTGTTAACACTATTTTATGGAGCAAGTTAAAAATAATGTTAGAATTATAAAAACGATTCATGTTTTTCAGCTGCTAATAGGTTATGAAAATGGTACTGTAGTATTCTGGGACTTGAAATCTAAAAGAGCAGAGCTGAGAGTTTATTATGATGAGGTAAGTGATTTCTATTGAAATATTTTAAAAGTGTTATAACTTTGTTCCTGCTTTTCATTTGTAAGTTTTGTATTTATCATTGGGAAACTGCCTCACTTTGCCTGTTGGTATTTGCAGAAGGTCTGACTCTGCATTGTTCTTCTGGAAATTTTGCCTGTTTGGGGACCCTTTCTGGTTTCTTAGATACTTCATTGCTTGCTGCCTATACTACTATATCTCTAACTTCATCTGAACTTTTTCTTCCATTAGGCTCCATACTTATATATTGTCTCACTGTCCTTAAGGTGCCTAACGACACCATTCATACCTTCCATAGAAAAAGTTTTTCTAATGTGTAAAGTTTAAGTAATCAGTTTAAAAAGCCTTCTCTGCTAATAATTGTTTCTGAGAATAATGCTTCTGTAAGTAAAAACAGCAAGAGTCCTGAAGATATCAAACAAGTTTTTGTGCAAATAATTAAGGCTTAGGTAATGAACTCGCATTTATTAAGGAATATTGTCTATTCAGAGATTAATCATAGGCCATTAATTATATTCACCTTTCCCCTGTAGAAGAGCCTAGTCTAATGGTAGTGAGGCTTGGGGCAAAAAAGGTGAGAAATGGGAATAAAGGTGATCATCTATGCTTTCAATTAAAATGGTTAAATGATAGATGGGGGAGGGGACAGATGCAGAAATCTCTAATTCCTCACCCTTCCATGGAAAGAGTTTCAAAAGAGGTAAGATAAATAAAAAAGAAAGTAAAAGATACATTTCTTTTACAATTCCTCAGTATGCTTCACAGCAGTTAAATTTGAACATGTTGGTGCTTATAGGTAAAAAAGCTAGTTCATAAACTGCCCTCTCCCGATATATTTTAGTGGTTTTGACATACTAAAATTCTAACAGTATGCAGAAGATAGTTGTCATAGTGACAAAGAGCTCAAAAGTAAATGATACAGCAGCTGGGTAGCTGGGTAGCATGAGAGAAAAAATACTCTGGCAAGTGATGCCACGTAATTATGTTCTTTATAATCAAGTTCTGAAGCATCTTGAGCCATAACAAAAGTAGGAAATAGGGAGCGGAGGTAGGATTTTTCTTTTGTTAAATACACAAAATATGAAGAGAAGAATGGACAGTGCCCTCTCTGTCCAGACTAGCAGTTAGGTAAGGGCCCAAATACTGCCTGGGTATTTAGCTGGTAAGAACTAGAGGAGACCAGCGGAAAAGAAATCCACCCCTACCCCCAAGCCCAGTTCCAGGGATAATGCTAAATCAACTAGTTTGCCGATGTGCTTAAAAAGGAAGATTTCTAATCTTGAAAGAGAACAGAAGAAACTTTGCAATGAACTGTTTAAACATTAGCAAAACTGAAGTCAGAATACAGCGCCACATCTACTTTATACCTAGAAATCATATAAAATACTGATTTATATTCTTTTCTGTCTCTGCACACACACACACACACAGTCAGTGGTCAGCTAATGTGAGTGAGACAGCTGGGGCAAGATTTCTGTGTGTGTGTATGCAGGTATGTATGAAACTGTTATTACTTCAATACTTAATTATAATCTTATGCTTTTAATAGTTACATAACTTCATTTTATTTCCAAACTCTTCAAACTTTCCTCAGCACTTCTGGTATTTATTTAGAAATCATATGTAACACTTACTGAAATGGTTCCTCTTAAGTTACTGATGATTTCATTGTTGCACAGTGACCTTTTTAGCCTTTCAAGTTTCTCATTCAACCAGTGGCTTTACATCAACATCTCCTTATGGTTTCTTCCCTTGTCTGTCTTTTCACTCCTCTTCTCCTTCAGATTCTTTCCTTAACTCTTCTTTATATTCTTCAGGATTCTATCTTTACCTCTTTATTTCTCTTCCAATTTACATTTGTGTTCATATCTTTTCCCATTATTGCAATAATACCCAAAGCTAGAAATTCATATATTTCTAATCCTTACCTAAGCTCTAGATCCAAATATCTATGTTAGATGAATCCAGAGAAAGATCTCTTTGGGACTGAACCTTTATTTAGTATCTAAATCTCCTTCAATATTCAGTTTTACATTTTCAAAGTTACAATTTCTTATTTTAGATTAGAACTCTCAGAACCGTATTTGACCCTTATGTGTGTGTGTGTGTGTGTGTGTGTGTGTGTGTGTGTGTGTCATATGTAAACAGTTTTACAGTCTTGCTTCTGTTTTTATGTTGGCTCTCATGTACTTCCTCTTTTTCATTTTTACAGTTAATGATCTAACTTCTAGTTAAAATAAGTCCTTTACTCCTAATATTATAAAATAACCCTTTAACAAATCACAGTTCCTCTGTCTTACCTTTCAAAATACGTTTTACTAACAAGATTATAATTTAAACACAGTCAGATCATTGACTCAGGAACTTCTGAGTGGTTCCCTAAGACCAAATCTGACAAGACTTCATCCTTTGAAATGAGAAGCAAGACCCTAGTGCTATCTTTCCCCTTTAGCTAACTTACTGTATTCTTCTTCACACTTCAGACATTCTTCACAACCTCCTAAACAGTCCTCTCTTCCCACCTTCCAGCCTTGGTTCCTCCTCTCATTAACTCCCTTTTTCCCTCTTCTCCAAATCAAAATCCTTTAAATTCTTTAGCCTCTACATAGCTGTTTATATGACAAGCCCATTGGTAAAAGCCATTGATTAACTGGGAGTTTTGTTTTGTAAATATAAGATTATTTTTAGAAATAACTATTTATTCTAATTCTGCATTGCTGCAAAATTTTTGTTTGTTTACATCAATATCCCTCAAAGTTTGATATAAGGGTAATCTTTTAGTTCCTTTAGTAACTCTTGTTTTTTTTTTTTCAGGTTTTTTTTTCCCAAAAACTCAATACAAACCACTGAATTAGCCAAACTGACTAGAGTTTTATCTTCCATATTCTGTTTTTTATCTTTATAAATTCTTCTTGAATTGGTTGTTACATTTGATTTTCTCAGTAAAATTTTTTAGCCTTTTTTTAAGAAAAGAGTAATACATAATCAAAAATAGAAATGGAATAATTATGCACTAAGTTGATTTAAATGCCAGTTGTCCAGTAATACACTATTTGACATACTCTAATAAGTTGGTTTTACATATTTACTGTTCTGAACAATGTGCATTTCTCTTATAGTACTTATTTTGATTTTGTGTTGTGGCTATTTTTATTTCTGCCTTCTGTAGTAGTAGTTCACACTTCAGACATATAATTATAAATGTAGCATACAGTATATATAATATATACAACCATACAAATATAATCATATATATCTTTTAACATTATTTCAATTTAACATGCTATATATTCTAAATGTGTATTATAAATGTATAATGTTAGTGAGACAGGTAAAATAGTTAGGGTTAAGAATGATTTCTCTGCATTCACACTTTGTAGCAAAGCAGTCAGAGAGAACTTTAAATTGACTGAATTTCATCCAAGTTATCAAGTAGAGGAGACAAGGAGTGACATCCTTTGATCAACTTACAAAAATGAGAAGAAATAAATGGGAAAGAACAAAGAAGAGTGTTTTTCCCTTCTATCTTCCTCTACTATATCCTGGAAGGAAAAAATTTTGTCTGTCTAGTAATGAGAAACAGGGGCAAGAGAAAAACACAAATCTATGGTTTCATGTTATCTTTTCCATTTAATCCAATCTGTGAGGTACAAATCATATCCTATTTCCTTTATGAGAGATATATATGATATATATATATTGCATATATATATATATATATAAATGATTATCTTAGTCAGCAATTATGTATAACTAATAATACTATTTGGAAGTTCCAGGAACTCAGTTTTAAATATACATATTTCTTTTTTTTTTTAAAGATTTATTTATTTATTCATACAGAACTGGGGTAACGGAGATAGGGACGGAGGGTGAGAGGATTCACCAGAGACAGAGCGGGGAGCAGAACAGGCAGATCAACGAAGTACACTGCTGAAAGGAGCAGCTGGCGGGTCAGGAGAGGTCTGCCACCCATGTGGTCACCTCCGGGGCAGGCGGGGATCGAACTCATGCGGAAGTGGGTTTAGCTTCTCAGTGCTGTGTTTTAACCCGCTGCGCCACCAGGGAGGGCCAAAATATACATATTTCTATTAACATTATATATTTATAATACACATTTAGAATATATAACATGTTAAATTGAAATAATGTTAAAAGATATATATGATTATATTTGTATGGTTGTATATATTATATATACTGCATGCTACATTTATAATTATATGTAGTTAAATATAGTTAGCTAATATGTTAATAGTCATAAAGAATAAGAATTCATATTTGTCAGTTTTCTCTAAGTTCCCTTAAAAAGTATGCTGTGTACTACTTTAGTTTCACATTTATTTAACTCAAAGAATGCCAACGGTGTAAAGTTATCTGATGCCATTTACTAATTCATTCCATAGATACTTTGTGTATATACCTTATGCAAGTATGCTACCATTGGCAATAAAGTGACCTAGGAAAATAATCAATTTTATCTAATTCACAACTCAAAAAGTGAATCTAAAAAATATACAGTTTTAAAGGTGATACGATGTTTTGATTGAAAATATTTTTGTGTAGTTAAGTGACCTTGGCTGTGAACTATATGACCTAAGCAAGTGTTTCAATCTCTCTAGGTCTATTTTACCTATTTTATAGGATTAAAAGGGATAATTAAAGTATTTCCTCGGGTTGTTATCTCAGGTAGAAAGCCTTCAAGAGGTGGCTCTTCAAGGAACCATTTTTTTAATTGGAGACTCAAATGGAACTATTCCTCTACCTGATCAGAAATTATAACCTTATTTTTATGTCTACAAAAGTAATTTTTCAAGAAGTATTATGGAATACAGGGAGGACAAAGGATTTACAAGAAAAAAGTAGTGATATTAGAAAGTTAGCTATTTATTATCTTAGGAGTTGAATTTTTGCAAGTTTTATAAACCCAGAGGATTGAAGCCAAAGTTAGTATAATCTGAGTCAGAAAAATTATATGCTTCTCAAGTTTTACTGCTATAATAATTTTATGCCACAATTTTTTCCTTTGGAATATAGAATGATATATCAACTTTTCCCCTTCTCCTTGTTTTAACTGTTATTTCATTAGGCTATTCACTCAATTGATTGGCATCATGAGGGCAAACAGTTCATGTGCAGCCATTCAGATGGCAGCTTGACTTTATGGAACCTGAAAAACCCAAGTCGTCCTTTCCAGACCACAGTTCCACATGGTAAGACGTGTACTTTCAAAAGAAACTCTGGAGAGGGCACCTTGACCTGAACAAAGAAATCTGGTGTTAGTGTGCTTTGTAGAAAGAAGTGACTGGACATGTCTTCCGAGTCTAAATACCTTTGTATACTGCCTTCAGATCCCCAAATTGCACTACACACATTCTGTACTCCCCTTCTTCCTGTCCATCCATTTTTCCCACTTTGTAAGCCTATGCTTAGTTTCTGGACCCCAAATCGGGTGATGAGTAGTTGATCTACTTGAAGCAGAAGAGGCAATATAAGAAATTTGGTCAGTTTTAAGGATAAGGCATCAGTGAGCAAATGGCACTAATGGATCTGTCTTTCAGGCCTAATTTCTTTGCACCTTTATAAATCTGTTCTAGATTCTCCCACTCATTTTCATTTCTGCCAGAGGATGCTGCTAAACTATGCATTTGGTAGTTTTTATCATAGATTGTGTTTATCACATCTGCCTTATTAAAAAGAGGCATTCAGGATTTATGTTGGTTCTGTCTCTAAGCTGGACAGTACAAATGTATTAATATCATGTATTCAGATGACCATATTATTTCTGAGAATATTAGTAATGATCTGAGTTCCATGTTACCTCACTTTTGTTGGTTTGTAGGAGTAAGGTCAAAATCTAATGGTTGTTCAAACACATTCTGTTTTAATTTCATTTATTTATATTTTCATGTTGTGAAGTTTAGAAAATATGGTGAGTCATAAAGCACAAGATAGGGTTATTTTGTTGGCCTGTTTCTCCTTGTATATGTTCCATGAGCAATGTTTTAATTATTTTATTTAACCTAGCTTTATTTAGAGACTATATAGATATGTAAAGTGCTTTTTTTTTTTAAAGATTTATTTATTTATTCATACAGAACTGGGGTACAAGCCAGAAATGCAGAGGGTGAGAGGATTCACCAGAGACAGAGTGGGGGGCAGAAGAGGCAGGTCAACGAAGTACACTGCTGAGGGGAGCAGCGGGCGGGTCAGGAGAGGTCTGCCACGCCATGTGGCCACCTCGGGGATCGAACTCATGTTGAAGTGGCTTTAGCTTCTTAGTGCTGTGCTTTAACCTGCTGCACCACCAGGGAGGGCCCGTAGAGTGCTTTTTAAAGTTTAATTGATTTACCTTTCATTTATAAAACTATAATTTTATATATATGTGTGCTTCAATTACCATGAAATTTTAGTGACATTACATTATCATACTCATATCTCCTTTCTCCTCTAGTAACTACAGAATTTGCCATAGCTTGTTTATTGGGGTTTATTCTACAAATGAGTAAAACCATCTGTTAATTGCCTTTCATTTTCTGACTTATTTCACTTAGCATAATGTTCCATCAATATTACTGCAAGAGGCATGATTTTATCTTTTATATTAGCTGAGTAGTATTTCATTGAGCATTTCTTTTCTCTTTTTTTTCTTGTTATAGGTAAAGATGTGCCAGTTTTCTAGAGCTTCAGAGAATTGATTTTTGGATTAATTTATATGTTTTTCTCTTCTAGTTCATAAATTTCTGTGATAGTATTTCCTTTCTGCTTGCTTCAAGTTCAACATGTTCTTGTTTTATACTGTTTTAAATTGGATGGTTAAGTTGAATTCTTTTTTAATTGAATGGCTTATATCTAAAAATTTCTGTTCTCTCAGAAGAGATATTGGTATTTTTGATTTCCCTTTTGGCCCTTCAGTTAGATAGCAGCATGGTCTCTTCAGCTTTCTTATGTTTGCCATTTACACAATGTATGCTTTCCATCCTCATACTGTCAGCCTTTTGTGTCTTTAAAGTGCATCTCCTACAGATCATAGATTTATACTGTTTTTTTTATTACAAAAGTTTATTTTTACATCATTTTGTACATTTTTTTTTCCACCTCGATGGTAATCCCCGCGGGTTTCCCATCACCATAATCCCATGCATTTCTCTCCATATACTGTTTTTTTTATCCAACCTTTGTAGTTTAATCCATTAACAATGTTGTTATTCATACTGTTCAGTTTTAATTCATATCGTTCAGTTTTTTTCCCATTCTTTTATTGCTTTTTAAGGGTTATTAAGTGGGTATTTTCTGGTGTAATATTTACTTCTTTTAATAATATTTTCACTATTTTGTGTTTTATGTTCTTAGTGACCACCCTAGGATATATCATGTACACAATAATTTATTGGAATCTATTTAAAGTTTATACTAGGGGTGTAAGAGTGATATGGAAATGTTACTCCTAGAAGATTATACTCCATTTCCCCTACTATTATACATTATATCAAGTGTTACAAACCCAACAATATACCTTTATTATTTTATGTAAATGTATGACTTTTAAAGAAGCTGATAAATGGATAAAGTACATATTTATGGAATTTGTTCCACTGACCTTTTTCCATTATCACTGTGGGTTTCTTCATTTGTTCCTGTGAGTTTAAGTTACCATTTGGTTGGTAACATCTTGCTCCAATGCAACTTTGTTTCTGTCTACCACCTTGTGTTATTGTCAAGTAAATGATATATCCCACATTATAAATCATATACCTTTATTTTATTGAATGTCTTTTTAAATCAGTTGAGAGGAAATTGGGGAATAGGCAGTTATACTGTCCTTCATAATTACTTACATAATTTCCTTTACTGATGCTTTTTGTGTAGTTTCAAATTCTTGCATTTCATAACCTGAAGAACTTTAGTATTTTTTGTATAGCTTTCCAATTTTTCACATCAAATATGTATTATGTTAGCTTAATTCTAAGAACCTTATTAAGTTACTTTATTAAGTTACTTTTTGTTAGCTGTATTTGCTACAACTGATTTTTGAAATAGTGATAAAAATTATTTAGGTAATTCACTTTTTCCTTTTTTTTTTTACACGTCATTTCACTGTCTTGACTCCATTGTTTCTAATTAAAAATTCAGCCATTGATCTTTGTTTTTATCAAAGTAACATTTGTTTATAATATTGTATATGAGTCAGACTTAGGATCATACCTCTTCAAACATGTGTTACCCACCACCATTCTGAAAAAACCACCCTTTAAGAAACATATGCCTGTCAACATATCTATGTAGTAGATATCTGTGTCTATGAACTGTGACAATGTAAGAATATAGGTATTCATTAAAGTAAAAAAGTTAGGATAAGAATGTTATATGAGCTACATTTTCATTTCCTTTTCTCTTGATCCATTATGCAAAATCTTAGGAAGGCGTAATAGAGCTCTTCCCCTCAAGAAGCTATTATTTTATGCTACTAGTGTGCATCATTAAAACTATCTTTATAAATTCTGCAATACCATTTGTGTTTGGTCTAGTGAATGTCCTTTAAGTGAATGTGACGAAATTGCAGTTATTTTGATGGCATATCATAAACTTGAAGTCTTTGATATGAAAGGGTTTGTTTGTATTCTTTTTAGTAATTACAGTATGCAGGTAAGTATGTGGTGTGTCTTCAACTGTCAAGTTTATTTTGTGTTATTAAAATAACATTACATACACTATATGAGAATTCACATGTGGACACAATAGAAATGACTATTGCCTATATAGCAGCAAATTGTTAAGATTCAACAGTGTTAGTATATACAGACATGTTAAGAAAAACATTACTATACTGTTTTCTTTGTATTCATTTTGCCAAATTTATCCATAATTCTCATGGTTGAGGAGAGTTTAAATCATTTAATAAATACCTTTTTCTTTTAGGGAAAATACAAAGAGAAGGAAAAAAGTCTGAACCCTGTAAACCAATTCTCAAAGTAGAATACAAGACCTGTAGAAACAGGTATGTATTTTTGTTATGCAGGATATGGGAAAATAAGAAAAATAGGCAAATTTTATGGTTTATTATGGCAAGTGTTTTATATACTCAAAGATATTGACTGACAGATTCTTACATTAATAACAGATTTATTGTATATAGGGAGAATTGGCCATACAAACAGCATGAAACATATGGCCAAATCTCTGTACTTTAGATTCAAAGAAAATATACAAATTTTTCATACAGTATTCATTCCTATATATCAATAGTGTTATAATTACTTCCAATACTTAGTGGCAGTACTCACAGAATTATGGTTTTAAAATCCACTTTTTTCAAAATTTTACTAGTGTAAGATTATGGCCATTTTTAACAAATTATTGGGTGTACATGTGGTGAATTATGTATATGGGTATGTCAGTATATATGTAAAACAAGTAAAAGTATTAAAACATTTTCTTTATCAGCTGTTAATCAGCATTGCATTTCAAGAGCTATTGAACTGTTGGGTACTATGTTAACTATTTGTAACAACTTGTGGGTGCTTTTTCCTTTTCACTTGTATTCATTTTTAAAGCTTGTTCTCTTATTTCCATTATATTTTTTACAAGTCAAATTTGTGAAAATGAAAGTACAGTAAGTTTGTGTGAAAGACTAAGTATTTTCCTTGATTTGATACAATGAAAAAAATATTAAACTACACAATCTGTAACCTTAAGTAATAGTAGAAGTAAATTGTTAATATCCAAATTTGAGAAGATATGTTCTCCAAATCAGGATATATTTTTGCAAAACCAAGTTAGAAATAACAAATTTATTTAATACCACAGTTAGCAGGTTGGTAATTTACTATGACAAATTACAGAGGCAAGACTCACACCAGCTGATACAGGATTCAAAGGGGGAAAGTAAAACATTTCTGCTTATTTAACTTACAACTCAAATATTTATTTCAAAAAGGTAATGTATTGGTTTTTTAATGGAACTTTAAAATTTTCTGTTGCATAAGATTAGCAAATGCCCCATTGGTACTGTGGTAATTTGTAAAAAATGGGAGAGTGGATCTCTGGAAACAGATGAATTCTTCGGCAGATGGTCATTAGAGGTATAGGTATTAATCTGAAAAAAGAAAAATAAAAAAATTGTAACAGACTCAAAAATTAGTAGCTTGCCCTTGATGAAATTGAAAAGCATCTCACAAAGTATTCTCTATCTTTTTATCATAACCCCTCCTCAATAAAGACACCCTTATTGAATTTCATATAGCCTTCTACATGCCCCTGTAGCATTTCATATTAGTTTGCCTCTGTCTTCTTGAGATGTGGGGCTTCTCATGCCAGCTGATTTGTTTAATAAACTAACTAGCCTAATATTCTAATAGTAGTTTATAACCAAATAATATGTGAAGATGTCCAACTTCACTGCCTTTATTTCATACCCACCCCCCTTGAAAACCGTTAGAGCAATTCATTAGTGATTTTAATAGTGAGAATGTGCATCTCAGAAAAGGGCAGTGGTGGAAAAGTAAATTAATGAATTAGATATTTGGGATGAGAAAAGACATTTGCTTCATGGCATATAATCCCCACTAAACTGTCCTTTTTAAATTAGTCCTGTGTATTATTCCATCTTAGACTTTTGAGTATCAAACTTTTTTCCCTATGTAGTGAACCATTCATAATATTTTCTGGTGGACTGTCTTATGACAAAGCTTGCAGAAGACCAAGTTTAACCATCATGCATGGAAAAGCAATTACAGTACTTGAGATGGATCATCCTATTGTTGAATTTCTTACTTTATGTGAAACACCCTACCCAAATGGTAAGTAACTAAAATGAAGCTATTTTATGTTGACAATAATTTTGAAATAAGTTCCTAACAAAATTAAGCTTAAATATTTTTAGTTTTGGCAGCTGGCCTCCACTGTGGTACAACACTCAACTACAGGTTGTATGAGGATCAAGTTCTGCAACTGTACCTACTTGAAAAATGAAGTAAGACAGATGTAGCACAGCAGTGCTGGAGTTTCAGGTTCTAATATCAGGTAAGTGCTTTAAACTTTGAGAAGGATGGTGGAAGCTGAGCTGGGAGGGTCTAATAGGGGTCCTGGGTGAAATCACTTGGGGGAAAATGGGGCCTCCTACTAGCCTCTCCTAGACCAGCTCCACCCATCCCATTCTAAAGCCAATCAAAGTTAAAGCACTTACCTGCTATCAGTGATCTCCAATTCTGGTGGTGCTGTTTCTGTTTCACATCTGTCTTTGCTTCAGATGCAACTGCAGTGCTACTGATTATTACAGGATTGCTGATGTGTGGTCAGTGATTTAGTTCAGTTGAAAATTAACTGTCTCTCCTCCCAAAGGCCCTTCTGATTATTTTTATCATCCTGAATAAAGGGTTTGTGTAAACACAGCAGCAGTCTAAACTTACAGGCAAATTTATAAGTGTGAAACAAAAAGGGAAGTAAGAATTTATTAAAACAAGGTAGTGTGTATATACATATTACCTTTTTGAGAGGAAGCATACATGTATAGAGGGAAAGACCTCTGGACTTGGACCTAGAATATTTGGATTTAAGATTACGGTGCCATTTACTAGCTATGTGACTTTAGGCAAGGTCACATAGCCATTAAATATGGCATTTTATATGTTAAGTTGAAATGAAATAACAATAAGGTACTTGTTCCTAGAGTCAGATGAAGTAATTATGGATTGAATTTAAATAATATATTGCTTTATAGTTTAGTTTAGTTGATGACTGAAATGATCTTGAGAAATGGCTTTGGACTTGGTAAGGATAGTGAGAGTAAAGTTTTTAAGTTATGAGATGCTGAAGATATTTGAGGAAATTTTAAGGTGGAAGGAAGCAGTGTTTTTAATAAGATTTTCCAAAAGAGCATTCCCTGAAATTCCAGATTCCCAATGGGGATGTTTTTGTGATAATGTGATTTAAGCAGACCCAGAAAGAGGAAAACCTGCTGGATTTGCCCTTTAATAGTGGTTTTGGATGTGGTATTCAGCTTTATTTTTTCTCCCTATCTAAAAACTTAAGAAAATGTCTCCTATTAAAAAAACCTAGTGAAAGTAGATGTGCATACCAGTAATCATATTTGAAAGCTTATGGTTGACAAGATCAAATACTGCATGTAGGTGTCAATTTCCGCAGAGCAGTAGAAATATTAAGGCAAATGCTAACATTAACTAAATCATGCACATACTGTAGTCGAATCTAATAATTTCCAAGCCACATTGTGTCTGTTTTTCATAGTAGTGGTAATAAGGATGGAACCTTTTATCAGGGATTAGGAGAAATAGGATTATTTTATTGACTATTTCTAATTAAAGCGACACTGCATGAATATGCCAGAAATAAATCCTACAATACACAATAGTATATAATGAAAACTTTCTTACTGTTCTTCCAGTGGGTAAATATTTACATGGCTTCTGATGTATTCTCTCCAAAATAATCTATGCATATGTGTGTTATCTTTTTCTTCTACAAATGGCTGCATATTCTCTATACAATTTCATATCATACTTTTCTACTAACAGTATATTTTGATTATGATTCCATAAGGCACTTCCATTTTCTTTACATATTATAATTTTTCATCCAACATATTTTAAAGTTTTTATTTTAATATTGAGGTATCCCTGTGACATATAGTTCAACCTACTTTCAAAGAATACAAGTAGTGTAATGCTCTAATCTCAGGGTCTATTGCCCAGAGATAAAAAGCTTCATCGTTATGAGCACTACTACTTGGCTATATTCCAAATTTGTGTTTTATGGCTAAATTTAACTGTATCTGGTCCTCTGCAAACTATGTAAATAATGCATTTCTCTCATCAAAGGTTACTGTAACAAATATTCACCTTATTGGAGTGTCCCACTACTCAAAAGGAAACCAGTAGACAAAGGCTGTAATATTACAAGATCAGGACCCTCAAGATAAGCTTTGTAACAAAACTAGTACCTATTTTGACAGTTCAATGGGCAAAGGAAATGGAAATCAAAAGTTTATTTACCCAACAAACTGTTAAAAATAGACATAGAATTAAATCTAATACTGACACCTTTTTATCAAGTGGTTACCAGAGCACACAAAATACTTTCTCTGCCAACTTTTCCTTGAAAAGAAGCAACAGTAATCTAAAACAAGTGTAATTATCAAAAATGATCATTTACTTATGTTTATTGGTGCAGAATGTTTCAGCTATTGTATTTTTTGTAGCAAGTAACTTAAATGTTTTTATGCTTTATTCTAATGACCTGCACAAACATTGATTTTTACCCACAATGATTTTCCTAAAGATAGAAGACAAAAAGGAAAGTGTTATAGAACCCCCAGTGTTTTTTCAAACCAAACAAACTAAAAAAGAAAACTAAAATCCCGGAAGTTTTGAGATAGCATTAGAAAGCTTAAGACAGGAGATAAGGAAAGGGGAAAAGGAAAAACAGTAAGAGGGCTACATGTTGTAGCTTTCTCAACTTGTGCTATTCTCATAACCTACTTGGACCTCAGTTTTCTCTATGAAATGAAGAAATATCTGTTCTAGTTACTAAGAATCAAATAACGTAAAAATTTTTTGTAATATTTCTTCATTAAATTGAGAATAGCAGTGTCATTGGGGGTGAAAATCAATGTTGGCCCTGGTCATTATAACTAAATGAGTAGACTCAAATCACAAGTCGTTTCTATACCATTATCGTTTTTTACCCCCATAGCTCAGATAATTTTCTAAATTACTTAATTTGTGGTAGTATGTATACATCTCTAAAAGTTAGCTACATGAGAATAAACTGTATATCCTTTGTTCTTAGAGTATCTGGAATATACTGAAAGGAGGAAGAGAGAAAAGGGAATATAGAGAGGCTATTTCTGAGGACATGTTATACCAAACTAAATTGAAACTACATTTTTCAGTCTAGTTAGTATAGGTCTTATAGCAGGGTGAATATGTGTTATAGTAGGGGGAAGAATGTTTCTTTAGTGTGAAGAGAGTAAGATACAAGGTAAGATAGAGTGCCCTCCCTGGTGGTGCAGTGGACTAAAGCACAGCACAGCACTATGAAGCTAGTTACAGCCACCTCACGAGGTCCATCCCCTGCAAGGGTGGTGTCCCAAATGGCACCTTAGACCTCTCCTGGCCCACCCACTGCTTCTATCAACAATGTCCTTCACAGTCTGCCTGTTCTGTGCCCCCACTCTGTCTCTGGTGAAGCCTCTCACTGCCCCACACCTCTGGCCTGTACCCCAGTTTTGTATGCATAAATCTTTTTTTTTTTTTTAAAAAAAAAGGTAGAGATGACAGGGTCAGTGTCCTCAATCTGGTACTATCACTAACTCATACTTATTGAATTACTTTAACTCTGCTATACAACCTCTCATTTGTTCTTGTTCTCTTTAATGGTCTTAAACATTAAATTTGAGAAGCTCTATGTAAATACCCTTTGTTGCTGTCAACTCATGATGGTGATTTCATAAAATTAACAATATGAAAATTTCATATTTTTTTTTACTTGTAGAATTTCAAGAACCCTATGCTGTTGTTGTACTTCTGGAGAAAGATCTCATTGTAGTCGATCTGACTCAAAGCAAGTAAGTTATTCATGTATACATTAACAGTATTGTAAAATGTTAGTTACTTTTAAAGGTAACACCTGATGCATTTGGAGACAACACACAAAAAATGGGTAACATTTCCTTAAGCAAAAGCAATTGCTACAAAAACTTCTACAGTATACTATTTGATCATCTGCTACCCTACTAAATAAAGAAAAATGGCACATGATAAAAAGTATTATTGAACTACTATAGCACACAATGCAAAACACCAAAATCTTGGAGACAGAAGATGAGCATCGTCTATGTGCTCCAGTTTAATAGGAAATGATCTTTAAAGCATAAGCACACACACATTGCTACATAGCACACATATTTTTCAATTTTTCAATACCACCTTTTGGAAAACATGTCAAAATTTACTAAAATATGTTTAATAATGGTAAGTTTTAAAGTATTTAGATAAAATTAGAGCTATACAGTACTTAGGTGATGTGTTTTAATAAAATGCATACTAAGTCAACTAACTGCACAATATTTTCAGTTCAAAATAATCTAACCTATCCACATAATGTTACCTTGGGATTTTTGAATTACAGGAAAGAAACTGAACTTATTCACTAAAATTTTACCTGTATCTGTATTACATTTTATAGATAAACATTTTTGAAAAGTGTTTTGATCTTCATTTTATGAAAGTGACCTTTTTCATTACAAAATGAAACTTATTTTTTTACTCTTTTAGTTTTCCAATCTTTGAAAATCCATATCCCATGGACATTCATGAATCACCAGTTACGTGTACGGCCTACTTTGCTGATTGCCCACCAGATTTGATTCTAGTACTCTATTCTACAGGAGTCAAGCATAAAAAACAAGGATATAGTAATAAGGTACCATAATAAAAATAAGTTTTCTTATATTTATATCCTTATTGTATGGTTTTTACCTTTTATTTTCTCACTTGAACTAAATCTTTTTGAAGTCCCAACTTGGCATCTAGAAAAGACAACTTTTGAAATTTAAATTTCCTAAATGTTACATACTTATATATACATTTATTTATGCATACAGACCTGGAGTACATGCCAGAGATACAGGGCCAGTGAAAGAATTTACTAGAGAGAAAGTGGGGAGCAGAACAGACAGATAGAGGGAGTACACTGCTGAGGGGAGCAGTGGGCGGGAAGATAGTAGGCCCTATCCACAGCCACTGCAGCACAAGTTCAATCCACGCCCACGGAGGTGACCCACATGCAGGCAGCAGACCTCTCTTGTCTCACCCACTGCTCCCCTCAGAAGTCTGTTTCAGTCAATCTGCCTGTTCTGCTCCCCATTCTGCCTCTGGGGAATCCTTTCATTTACCACCCCAACCCCCCCTCACCTGGCCTGTACCCCAGTTCTTGTATGCATAAATAAGTAAATCTGAAAAAAATAAGATAGGACATAGTTAAGTACCTCATCCTTGACTGTTTTAAAATATAAATTTTAATATTCTTCCTGGATAATCTATTTAGGAGTGGCCTATCAGTGGGGGAGCTTGGAACCTTGGGACACAGGCATATCCAGAAATTATTATTACTGGGTAAGTGGAGTTGATTTATGAGTTTATCAATTTGTCAGCATAAATATTTATTGAATTTTTACATATGCCCATAATTGTATTTTAGGCAGACTAATCACATGAGAAGAAAACTATAAGCTATGGCTTCTATACAAAGATTATTATAAGATATATAATCACACCATTGGAAACAGACATGCTTAAATATTTTTGTTTATAAAAGATAAAGAAAATCAAAGAAGGAAATATCATGGGACATCAATCAGGAAACAATTCCTGTGGAAATTATGCATTGCTAGCTTTAGAAAAGACCTTTACCTGTACCCCTTGATCCCTGCCAAATCCAGGGATCAATCACTACCCTGTATCTGTCAGTTGGTTATTTCAATTATGAGTCAACATGTATAGCATCAGAAATGTCACTACTTCTAATTCATTTCCTGCTCTAATATTATGAATGGAGATGTTGCAACTGGTAAGATTTAATAGATAGTAAATGATTTTGCTTATGGGACAATGAGGTGATTTACTTCTCTAGTCTTCCCACTAAAAACAAATAAAAACCTATGTATTATATGAGTAGAAAAGATGGGGAAAAGTTAGACTGGCTAAGGTCTCTTCAGACATAAGGAATGACGTGATGGTAAGTTTGAGTTTTTGGCTTTTTTTTGGTCTTCTATATCCCAAAATTAGAGCTGAAGAAGTAAGCAACGTGAAACTGTTAATGGGCACAGACAAAAAAATTCAACAAAAGGTAGCTTTCTGTATCAAAAGTGGCAAATTGTCAATACAAGAATACTCTCAGAAAGTGATCTACCGTAGATAATAACTAATGTCCCACTCCATTAAGTGGAAAGCCTAGACTTTCCACTTTCTCATCAATCTGTAACACAGTGTAATAACTTAGAGGGAAATTTCAGACTCCTGACATAGCTGGGAGGTAGATCCCAATCTGTTAAGATGGCTATGAAACCCCTCACTGTGGTGTCAAATAAGACCATATGGAGAAACATGCCCAGCTGTAAGGAGTCATATACTCTTCCCCGGCTAACAGCCTCTGCTATTATAAGGAACAGGCTATGGAAAGAGTTACATTTGTGAGTAAAACTTTTTGAAGTACCCACTTACAGTGAAGAACATAGAAACTCACAAGTATGCCAGCAGTGTACATATACTGAAAAGATGCTAATATTTCCCATAAGGATGTACTTTAGGTACCGGGCTAAAACGAAGTGAACTTAGCCTGACTTGAAAATAACCTGCCTATGCACTGAAGCAATTCCCTAACATCAATTAATTTACAAAGGTCAGGAAAAGGGTTCTCATTTTTGCATGGCTACAAGGAAATCAGTAACTTGAGGGAGCAGAACTCAGAAACCAAACAAGAATGCAAGCTTAATAATTCACTGAACAAAAACACAACAGTCATTGTCAAGGAAACTTGTAAAAAGGGAGAGTAACTACCACATTACAATAATCAGAAATCCAAATTTTCAATAGCAATAAAACACAAGGCAGACAGAGAAAAAAGTAAATGTGGGTAATTCAAAGCAAAAAAATGAATTAGTTGAAATTATGCCTAAGGCTCCCTAGACTTACTATTGAAGGCTATGCATCAAATATCTTAAAAAACACACAAAGAACTGAAGGTACCTAAAAGAAAGGCATTTCAATAAAATGAGAATATTTATAGAGACGTTATTAAAATGAAATCAAATAGAAACATGGAGCTAAAAGTAAAATAACAAATGAAAACTTCATCAAAAAGATTTAGCCACAGACTTGAACAGGCAAAAGAATAAGTGTAGTTGAAGATAGTTCAGTGATGATTCAACACAATACATATATTGGACGTGTCAGTGAGGACACAGTAACAAACAAAAAAAAATACTTGAGGAAATGTATGAAGATATCCTCCAACTTGATGAAAATCACTAGCTGAAAGACAAAAGGAGGAGCTGCTACAGAGGGTGAAAGCTACTAAATAAGGACTTATCCGGCAAACTGAAGGAGAACTTGAAACTTTTCCAGATTTAAAAAAAAAAAAAAACCAACCTTGAATTAAGTAAAAACACCAGTGAATGTAACTACGTACATACTTACTAATATGTTGAAAGTGAAAAGATGGAAACAGATACTCCATGCCAAATTTTTAATAAAGGTGGAGTACTTATATTTTTAACAAGAGATAGTCTCACCACATTATGAGAAAAAATTATTGATAAAAATGTCAAATATAAGAATTATATACATATGACAGAATCTTGTGACTACAATATGGTATTATTTGACTTTTTTAAACATTTAGCTTCCCTTATACTCCTAGGATAAAACCAGCTTATTCATGTGTTTTCTATATATATTATTTGATTATGTCTGCTAATATATCATTGACAATTATCATGCCTATAATTCAACATTTTTGGTTTGTATTTTCTTTTCATCTGAGATTTTTACTGGTCTTGGGTCCAGATATAGCTAACCCTATAAAATGTGCTACAAGTAGCTGTCCTCTGTTTTCCAGATGAGTTCTTAGACTTGCCAATTTTCAGTGCTCCCTATCTCATATAAAACCTTCACACAGTAAAAAGTAATTTTTTTTTCTAAATTTAGATTACTGTTGAAAAATAAACCATTGTTTTCAACTTAATAGTATAGATCTGAATCAAACTTTAAATACAGTAACTCATTTTCATACATTTAGAATGATTATAATATTTTAACTTACTATATTTAAATTAATGCCGATTTATTTCTCATCTAGTCATGCAGATGGATCAATAAAATTTTGGGATGCTTCTGCAAGTAAGTTTTTACGTTTCTCTTCTGTAACAAACACATGATTACTAACCATTCACTTGCCACTTTTTAGTTTGAATAATGAACTTTTCAGATAGATTTTTAGCATATATTTAAAGCTATACAACAACAATCTAATCTTAAATAAATCTAAAGCATTAGATCTATTATATTTCTATAATAAACAAGAACATAAGCCATGACATCAGTAACTGTGAGAGGCAGGTGCATTGGAAAATGTAAATTTGTCAATTTAACTGTTCAAGGGTTTTATTTCACTTCCTCACTCTGGCCCACTTGTCTTCACTTGCATACCAAGTTTTGTGAGAATACAAAAATTTGACAAATTAAATTTTAAAAATTAAAAAATTGTACCTTAAGGAATAAATAGGCATTCTGTTCAATACTAAGGTCATGAAGATATTTCAAGATTTGAGTGTACCCATTTATCTTTTTCCAAAAATGGTCAGAGAAGATAAAGGAGAACATGTATATAAGTACAGGGAAACAATAAAGTAAGAAACTCTTAAATGTATTTAAGAGTGGTATTTGAACCAGTTAGATCAAGGAAGGATATTTTAATGGGAAACATTTAATGCAAGGTTTGGAAGATTTTAGGAAAGTGGGCAATGGCTTCAAGTTTATGAGAATGAGTCATCAGTAAAATGTTAAGTAACTTTCGGAAATAAGTAATACAAGATAGTTTTAAAGATTTGGATTTCATAACAGCACCAGGAAATGCAAGTAGAAAAAGAGAGTCAAAAATAGAATGGGAATAGAAACTTGCCTGTAGAAAATGAACAGTGTATTTACATAAAATTTTCTCAGTCATAACTTAAGTATGAAATATTTTATGTTCATAGAACAGAAGTCCTTTATTTGGTAATCATTACTTGGTAATAACAATGCTCTTTTGAAAGAATTCCCAGATTTTCCTCATGAAGTGAGATGTAGGGTAGACAGACACATGTAATCTTAGGCAGGACTAAACCCTCTAAAATTACATAAAGCTCTCATCAAGCAAGTCAAGAGGAAAATTATGGAAAATGATTGACAATTCTCCTTAGGAGGTTCAGTATCCCCAATGTCTATTAATGACTGAAGATAAAAACATTTAGTTCATGGGACTTTACTGGGGGTAACATGAGGCAGGCAAGCACACAAAGGACCTATATATTCCTTGGTTTACGGCATATGTTTAATAGATTCGAGCCTGGCATTGAAGGTAGTTTATTTTGTGCACTTGGGTTCCTATTTTATTATTGAAAAAATGTAAATTTATCTAAGAATTAAGTCTGTATTAAGTCTAAATTAGAAGGTAACTATTTCATTGTCTTACAGTAACTCTGCAGATGTTGTACAAGCTAAAAACTTCAAAAGTATTTGAAAAACAGAAGGTAGGAGAAGGAAAGCAAACATGTGAAATTGTAGAGGAAGATCCATATGCCATTCAGATGATTTATTGGTGTCCAGAGAGCAGAATATTCTGTGTATCAGGAGTATCTGCATATGTGATAATTTACAAATTCAGCAGACATGAAATTACAACAGAAATAGTGGTAAGTCTTAAGTCTCACAGTCACAATTATCCATTTTAGGTGCTACTTGGTGTAGTTTTAAGTCATCAAGACTGCAATGTATGGCTGGTAAATTTTTAATTATCCTTGAAAAGTAGTATTACATTAAAAATAGTTTAACTTACAATGACAAAAGTATAATGTCAAAATTTAGTATTAAGTAGATGGGATAATGCCTATAGGTTTTAACAGTTACTGATTGTATATGTAAATGTCAAATTAATAATAGTTTTTGTTCTATATCTTTTATTAAATTTTTAGGTTTGTCTTATTAATTGACATGATTATTCTTCAACTATGATAAGGTTAGCTGTAATGACTTTATATAGCAGCATTTTTACAGGGTGGAAGTAATTATAGAGCTGCATTGTCCAATCTTATTTTTCAAATTAAAATAACCTAATTATTCAAAATAATGAAATAAGTTAAATACAAATAAGAGCATATTTGGATAATGGGCCTCTACTCAGTCTATTTTACTGTCATGTCAAAAAATAGATTATCTACTAAAAATAACTTTTTACAGGGACAACTGATATTTATTATTTCAAATGCCAGGCTTTAGAAAGGGAATCTCAAAATGGTAGTATGGGAAGTTTCTGGGTTCACCTTTTCCCACAGGAATGCTAATCATGCAATGATATATGGATCAACCCTCCCTGAAAAAAGATCTGAGAACATGCTAAACAACTTCACAACAAGGGACAACAGGACTATACCAAAATGCATAGGAGAGATACTCCCCGAGGATTATGGAGTTCATGCCTCCATGTAAGACAACCTATGAAACTGTGCCAAAGGAAAAAGCCCCACAAAATATCCAGCTTTGCAATGGTATTTGAAACCTAGCGACCATGAGGAATATGGAGCCAGCATTTAAAATACAAGCATGCAGACTCACTCATCCTGTGACCCCGGAAAAAACTGGCTATTTGAAAAGCACCTAAATCATAAAGCATTTGCCAGGGGACAGGAATGTATTCTTTTTCTCAAGACAGAGGCACTGGCAGGAGGCATTTTTGCATTGTATAGAAACTGGGCTGAAGAGAACAAATTTAAAACTCCCTCCATATTTCTAGAGTCAATGGACTAAGCACTCTACAACGCATCTGCCTCCCCATCTCCTTAGGAGCTGATGCCAGCACCACAGAGCTGCAGTAGCTCTCAGGAAAACAGCCTGGGGTGCTGCCTTTGACCTTACTGCAGCTCACTGGAACTCACTTCTTTCTTGGAGGCACCAGGACACTGATTAGTGACACTATTCCCAAAGGACATCTCCATGTCACTGGAGGCCAGTACGGTTAATAACTTCATGCCCACAAGGCTATACACATCAGGCAAAGTTTTGAAAGCTAATGCCTGAGGATCTGTCCTCCGATCAAGTAGAGATCAAAGTTTAAATAAGAAACTAACAGAGGCCCCTCCCTGGTGGTGCTGGGGTTAAAGCAGCACTAGGAAGCTAAAGGCACATCAGCATGAATTCAATCCCTGCCCTGAGGTGATCCACACGGGGTAGCAGACCTCTCCAGACCCCCGCCTCCCTCAGCAAAGTACTTTGTGGTTCTGCCTGTTCTGTTCCCCACTCTGTCTCTGGTGAATCCTCTCACTGCCCCGTACCCGGTTCTGTGTGCCTAAGTAAATCTTAAAAAATAATAATAATAATAAGGCAGAAACATAATGGATCTAACAAAGGAACAAGTCAAGGAGCTACAAGATAAAAACCCAGAAATACCAGGTGGGAGAAGAGAAAAAAAATGTCAAAAATGAAGATAGGCTATGAAATTTATCTTACTCCATCAGGAAGGGTATTTTAAGGACAGTATGTATCCCAGAAGGTAAAAAGAGGGAGAAGGGCACAGAGAGCTTATTGAAAAACTAAGAAGTGAGAACTTCCAAAACTGGGGAAGAAACAATCCACAAGTAAATAAAACAAACAGAACATGAACTTAACTGCTAACATGCATATTGGTGACACCATGAAGAGCTCAAGACAAAGGAATATTAAAAGCAGTTTGATATATGAAAAAGAATTAAAGATTTTCCAGAGAAAAACTGAGGGAGTTTACCACCAATGGACTTCCCTTTAAAGAAATGTTGAAAGCAGCTCTTTATTGAAAAAAAAAAAAAAAAAAGCACACATACACAATTGAACAAAGGAATATACAGAATCAGAAAACAAAAGACAAAATGGCAGTAACCAGTCCTCAATATATCAATAATCACCATAAATTTAAATGAATTAAACTCACTAATCAAAAGGCACAGAGTAACTGGATAGATTAAAACAAAACATAGAAACTACCAATTATGACTCACTTAAGCTATAAAGACAAACTGACTTAAAATGAAGAGATTAAGAAGTGGTACTTAAGTCAATAGAAAACTTTAAAAAAGCAGGATCCACTATATTTGGATCCACTATATTTATACCAGATAAAATACATTTCTACCCAGAAAAAGTAATGACACACATGGATGTTATATAAGGAAGGACACTGATCTTATTAATAAATAAGCACCCACCACACTAGGAACACAATATATAAAGCAAGTATTAATAGAGCCAAGGGGAGGCTGACAGCAACACAATATTTTAAGGGGATATTAATGCCCTTCTTATCACAGTGAATAGCACACCAAGAAAAAAGGAGCAGTGATGATGAATGACAAATCAGATGTTATGGCCTTAATAGATATTTATAAAAACATTTCACCAGAATACACAGTGCACAGAATTCAATCATACAGAGAACATCTCAAGTATAAACCAATCTATGTGTACTACAGAGAAACAAAAAGGAACTGACCTAGTTAAATCAAAAGCACAGGTTTTGATTCTAGCTTTGTCCGTGAAACATTTGTGATTGAGTCAGATGTCTACATTAGTCAGGTAAGATTTACTTTCATCACCTACATAGTTTTCTGTGTAATTAAAATGTAAAATATTACAGCTGAAATGATTCTATCAATTTCATAAGGTTCTATGAAAGGTGACATTATTAGCATAATGTCTAAAAGAATAACAGTAACTAATGTAGTTTATTAATGGTTAGTACTGTTACTATCATGATTTTTTTTAATTTAAGATAACTATGATTATCTTTTTGGTGATTGCCATATTCACTGCTTCATTCTATTATGGTTAGCAATTGATTTTATCCTCAAAAATAATCCCTGGTGGCTCAGGGATTAGTCAAGCTATTACCAGCCATTACAGCATGAGTTCAATCCCTGGACAAGAAACTAACCCACATTGCCTAGAAGACCTCTCTCTCTTGCCCTCTGCACCCCTTAGTGTTTTTCAAGAGATCTGCCTGTTCTGCTCCCGATTTTGTCTCTGGAAATCCTCCCACACTTCTGCCCTATACCCCCATTTTTGTATGCATTGAGTGAGATCATAAACAATGATTTTTTTCAACCATTTGTCAATTTTTGAAAAGTCTTAGTAAATTCACAGTAAAAGTGGATTTTTAGATGTCTTGTACAAATAAAAATTTGTGTGTTTAGATATATCATGCTCATTTCTCTTCTTTCTTTACTCTATGGGATTTTGTCAATTTATACATTAGGGAATATTATAGAAAAAGTTTACCTCTACTGATATTTTTGTTATAATTCTGAAGCATTAAGTATTCTAAAAATTGTGAATGCCATTGAATATGCCATGTAATGTACTATTTAATTCCATTTGGAATATCCCAGCTTTACTATAAATTGAACTTGTATGAGTAACAATTAATAATTACTAAAATCATCAGGTATTTTAACATGACCTTATGACTTAGATCAAACAACTATTTTTTTTAAGTCATTAGAAGTACGACTTCAGTATGATGTTGAAGATATTATTACTCCAGAACCAGAAACAAGCCCACCGTTTCCAGATCTTTCATCCCAGCTGCCTTCTTCAAGGAGCCTTTCTGGCAGTACCAACACTGTAGCTAGTGAAGGAATAACAAAGGACAGTATTCCTTGCCTCAAGTAAGATGTTACCAAATTTAAAACAACTTTCTATATTAATATAATTCTTTGAAACTGTGTCAATGTAGACCAGGCATCTGTCTTAGCCTTGTGTTCTATTCATGATTGTTTACAGTATTTCATTCTTCACTTTACTATTGATTGATTGATTTCCTATCGAAAGGACCATAAAGAGAACATGGTTTTGACAAATTGGGAAAATGTTTGGCAGGGCAGTAACTTAGCAACTTGAGTGGTGTTTCCCAATAGAAAAAGTATGTTAGGGGATTTTCATAAAGAAAACCAAATTTACTATTTATTAGAAGAATATTATAAGAAGGGTACTTTAGATGATTGCTAGGATAGTTCATATTTTTTAACTGATAGTATAATTGTTCATAAGCTTTTGTAATAGGGTATAGAAGAATGTACTTTCCTTAAAGTACTGCTTCTATATTTTCATGTTAAATGTTTGGTGCAACAGGTTAAAGCACAGCCCTATGAAGCTATTGCAGCCACTGCAACACAAGTTCAGTCCCCAGCTAGGGAGGTGACACACATGGCACAGCAGACCTCTCCTGTCTCGCCTGCCGCTCCCCTCTGCAGTGTACTTCATCAGTCTGCCTGTTCTGCTCCATCTCTAGTGAATCCTCTCACTGCCTCTGTACCCCAGTTCTGTATGAATCAATAAATAAATATCTGAATCTTTACTCAAAAGAACTTTAAAGAAAACTACTAATCCCTTGTTTCTTATTGGAAATTTGAAGAGTTTAGGAGTAAAATAAGCTTACTACTAATTAGCAGTTACTATAATTAATTCCCTCCCACCAAAAATTATAAAACAGAAAATATAAATGGGCATTGTTGGGAGAAACATTTTTGAACATCACCAAACAATGTTAGCAGATGGGGCACTTTTCATAATGCTATACTGGTACAGAATTTTAATTGATTTCTATTGAAATGACCATCAATGTGAACAAAATGTTGAAAAAAAAAGCACTGTAGATTATTAAATCAAAAGACCTATTTTAATAAAGTGTAAATCTATAATGACCTAGATATTTTTCTGTAATTTTTTTAAAATGCGGATGAAAGGAAAAAGCTAGCCAACCCATCAAAAATTCAATCAGAAGTAAATGAAATAAAAGCATTTAATATTTACTTAAAGGAATAGAGACAATTTTAAGGATAGTTAAGAACCCAAAGGGCAAAAATCATTATAATTGCAAATTAAGTAAAAGATCTGATTAGGCAAACAGAATGTTATTCTGTGAATTACATTATACTACTAGTGGCTCTAGAATTGAATATAATCCATGCTTTGTTAAGTTACATTTTGACATCCATACCTAAATCTTTTTGTATAATTTGAATTTGGTGCAGTTTGATTTTTTGGCATTGTGTTTCTTGGCTTGTAGAAAGGTTATCATTAAGAAGGTAAGATTTTAATGAAAACTAGCTAAGGGAGTTAGCTGAAGAGTACCTGGTGGAAGGATGGTCCAAGCAGAAAGTTCAGCTAAAAGACTTTTAAAAAGCCCGTCATCTGTCATCTTTGAGGAATAGTAAACAGAGCCCTATAGCTAGAACAAAAGTCACTACCTTTCAGGAAAGGTAGTGACAGATGAAATCAAATAGGTAATACAGTGCCAATTATAAGTCACATTAAGGGCTTTGGTTTTTATTCCTCTTAAATGGGCAACCATTATAAGATTTTGTATAAGAGGTGACTTAATCCCACTGAAATTTTGGAGTTGATTGCTTTGGAGGCTATGTTGAAATTGGATTTAGCGAGGTAATGGAAGAGCAGAAGCCAGGGAATCAGTAAGGAGGCGACTGATATAAACTAGACATGATATTCAGGTCTATTAGTTTCAGCACAAATGAAAGTAAGGGACACCCCTATAAATTTAATTTCGGATAAACAATGAACATTAGCAAAGAAAATCTGCTTACTTAAAAATCAGACTTGCATGTATTTTTACTTGTCAAATGTAAATAGGATGGTAACAATAGTGAAATAAAAAGTGGTCAGATTCTGGATATGGCTTGAAAATAACACCACCAACAGCCCTTGATCATTGATTGTGAGGTAGGAAAGAAGATTAGTCCCGGATGACTTAATGGATTTCTAACTAAATTTTTAAAAGGATAGGCATTGTCATCAACTGGAACAGAGGAGGCTACAGGCAGAGATTCGCAAGGAGAGAGTAGGAACAAGTTTGGAAGATCTTCAACTCTTAGGTAACAGATCAGTGGTCATTCCTCTTGTTGTTGTGACTATAACATATCAATGTAACAAATGTTATGTGAGAAAAAACAATCAAATTTAAACTATATGACATAGAATTGCCTTTTCTCTCTTCTTTTCTAGTGTGAAAACAAGACCAGTGCGAATGCCTCCAGGCTATCAGGCAGAACTTGTGATTCAACTAGTGTGGGTGGATGGTGAACCTCCCCAACAGATTACTAGTCTTGCTGTGAGCTCAGCATATGGAATGTGAGTAAAGTGCTATTTCTAACTTGTAGTAGTTTTCTACTGTATTTGATATATTTAGATCCTTCCTTTTAAAATACCTACGTGATGTCCTAAAAATGAATAAAACAGTTACTTGGATACTTATGTTTAATAACAGTAACTTATTTAAACTACTATTTTCTACTAGTGTCAAATCTGTTATCAGTATTTCTACGTTTTATGAAGCTATCAATCTCTTCAGTTGGTACCTACTTGTAACTTTAAAAGATGAGAACCATAAAATTAGTCTTTGACATGTCAGTGATTGGTTCATTACTTTCACTATAAATATATATTCCTCCCAACCTACCATTTTTCTCATCCCATTATTCTCCTTCTCCCACAACCTTAACCTTAGAGCCCTCATTTACTGATGTCTGCTAGTTTTTGTATTTTACCAGATTATCTGTAATGTAAGGTCCAGTATTTGCCATTCTTACTTGCTAACTATACATAACTCCCTTAAGCGCCTCCATTTTGCTGTGAATGGCAGCAATTTGTCTTTCATGGCTGACTAGTATCCCATGGTGTGAATATAGATGCAAGTACCATAGTCATCCTTTTGTCTTTCAAGTGTTATTGACTTCTACTGCTATATACTTGTAAATATGTGGAGTAGATAAGATCAGCCTCTTCACTCTATCTTCATCTTTCCAGATTCTCTACTTGACCATTGAATAAACATAAGAAAATCAATTTCCTTGATTTTAGTTGGTGCTTTTCTGTTCAAAGGAATCTTTATGCCCTTTTGTAAAAAATGCTGTTTTAATAGTTATGTACTACTCTAGCTTTTCCTTGTCTCTCTATCCTTTATCTCTCCCTCAAATCCAAATGATAGCTTTGTTGGGTATAGAATTCTTGGTTGAAAGATTTTTTCCTTCAGTACTGTGGGTATGCCATACTCTTCTACTGTGCAAGGTTTCTGTTAAAAATTCTATTGGGGCCCTCCCTGGTAGCACAGCACATTAAAGCACAGCACTGAGAAGCTAAATCCACTTCCGCATGAGTTAAATTCCCGCCTGCCCCGGAGGTGACCACATGGCGTGGCAGACCTCTCCTGACCCGCCCGCTGCTCCCCTCAGCAGTGTACTTTGTGGATCTGCCTGTTCTGCTCCCTACTCTGTCTCTGGTGAAGCCTTTTGTGGCCCCTGAGCCTCTGGCCTGTACCCCAGTTTTGTATGAACAAATAAATCTTAAAAAAAAATTCTGATGGCCTTTAGAGGGTTCTTTTATATGTGATGTGTTGGTTTTTTCCCCATTTTAATTATGTGACTTGGTTTTCCTTTTTCAGAAGTGTGTGGGTTTCTTTAACCTTCTCCCTTTCCCCAGATTAGGGAATTTTTGGTAATTATTTCCTCAACTACTTTTTTCCTCTTTCCTCAACTACTTTTTTCCTCTTTCTCTTCTGAAACTCCTAAAATGCAAATGTTACTATTCTTGATGTATGGCTAGGTTCTATTGCTGTGTGTTCCAATTTACTTATTTGCTCTACCCAGTCTACTGTTGGATCCCTATTTTGTATGTTTTTGTTCTACGATTTTCAGCTCTATAGCTTCCCCATTTCCATAATCATTACTTTGAACTCAAGTACTTTGTTTATCCACTTGTCTTCAGGGTTTTGTTTTGTTCTTTAGGAAGCCTTGTTGTTCCCTGTCTCACCTGATTTTCTGCATTTGTATCAGTGTTTTAGGCAACCCTACTACCTATTCTAGTCCTAACGGTTAGTCTTAAGTGAGTGATACAATATGGAATGTCCCTTAATTCCTATTTCAGTGAGTCATTCAAGGTGTATCAATTTTCTTGTCTGCACCTCCTTAACTGATGTTGTATGCCATTGTAAGTAAAGCTGTCAGCCAAGCACTGATATATTTGTGGGACAAGGCTGTAGTCCTGGACTGTGATGTGTTCAGTGGGTGGTTAGAATGCCTATTGAAGCAGTTCATATGATGCCAACCGCAGTGTACATGAACACACTGAGCTTTCAGGAGCACAGGATCTGGTTAGCTGTGAATAGCAAGCAGTATGTGAACTGTCTAGGTTGTTGAAGGTCTGGCCCACTTACTAGCATATAGGTGGGGTCTGGCAGGAGCCAGACTGCTCATTTACTTGTGATTCTCAGCTACATTGACCACTTCCTATGGGTGAGCAGAACTCTTATCAGGATTTTGCCCACAGGACCTAATAGTTTGGTGGGGAATTCTAAGATGTCACCCAGCAGTGTCATTAGCAAATTTGTGAGAGGTTGCCAAGATAGTGCTTACCAGTAACCCTGGGTCAGAATCACCTGTATCTGTAATTCTCTCACTTATGAGTTGGGCACTATTTAGACTGGTGCTACTGTGATAGGTCCTATGTAGTAAGAAAGAAATTAAGCATGGATTTACAACTGTTTGCGTGGAGGATATGTTCTATGTGCTTAATTGAGAACTATTTTTTTAATAAAGTATACCTCTATCTACTACAGTATCAAAATCTCAGATATTATGCAATAATTTGTGTTAAATGTATATTCTCTGTAAAATGCATTTATTATATACCTAAATATCAGTAATTATTAAAGTTTAACATTTCTTGGTCTATTTCCCCTTTGCATAGCAAAATGAATTAAATAGTAATTTCAGTAATCAATACTTACATGCTAACATTGGTCACTCCTGCCTTTTTCAATGGTCAGAGATATTAAAAAAGATCAACTTAGATAAATGCATGATAGCCTTTCTAACTGTACAGCAATTGTTGCCTGATCTCCCCAACACTAAAGCAGTAGTTTCCTTTAATCTTAATTTTAGTTCAAATATAAAAATAATGGTTTTCCACACATTCTATTTGCATTTTTTGTTCTTTCAGAGTTGCATTTGGGAACTGCAATGGTTTAGCTGTGGTAGATTTTATACAGAAGACAGTACTCTTAAGCATGGGTACCATTGACCTATACAGATCAAGCGATCTTTACCAACGACAACCTCGGTCTCCTCGAAAAAACAAGCAGTTCATTCCAGGTAGGAAATAAAACAAATGGATATAATCTTGATTGGGTCACTCATTTTCTTACATTTAGACTGTCTTTTTTCTGTGATGCTACTCAAATGCATGGCAATATAAAGTGCATTAAACTATTAGGCAGCACCTTACATTTTAGATTGAATTACTAAAAACAAAATTAATATAAAAATATATGAGTCTGTAGTTGAAAAAAATTCTTTTAAATCCATGCTTTAGCTGTCATCTTCTATGGAGATATTTTTATAAATGTGAAACATTATCAGACATAAAATGCCATAAAAGATGACATTTTTCCTTAACAGGACTAATCATTTTTAACCTGACCAGAAAGACTTTCTAATAATTTGCATATTTTCTGCCTATTACAGTTTAGTTGGTAAAATAATTAGTTGAGTTAAACTTGGAGGTGCAAGTTTAATAATAATATGCACCTATATTATTCTTTTCTAAATAACAGGCGTGACAAACTTAACTTCTGAATGTGATTATAAAGGAAATGTTCTTTTGTATATTTCAGTCCTTTCCAAATTGCTAATTCAAACCTTTTATGGGGCATAAAATTCTCCTTCAATATATTAGGAGTACTGGAGAAACTTCAAGTTCTGTCTCTCCCACTGCTAAGTTTCTAAAAGGAGGCTAGAATAAGATAACTTGTATATGCATACGTACAAAGAGAGATTCCTTTATGATTAGGGAAGAAAACAAAGTTGATGTTCACAAATGTGACAGTAGGCATTGTTGGCAAGCTAAAAGCACCAATTCAATCAGAAAAGCTATGGATTCCATGAAGCATCTAAGTTGCTCACTGGATATATCGTGTGGAATGACCAAGTGTATCTTCTGACAAGGTAATAAAACTTATTTAAATTTGTTGGGCACAATAATTATGAGTACAGCTTAGAATTTTAATGACTTTAAAATAAAGAGAAAGCATGTTGAAGTTAAATGAGTTAACATTAAGTTCAACATGTAAAAAAGCACATTAAGAGAAAAAAGCCACTATTTTATAGGATATTTGATTAAACAAAATGACTACAGCATCTCATCATTCATCTATCACCTTTCTAATTTTTTCTTACTATCTCCTCTTTAATTTGGTTACCTAAACTTGCTGCAATTTCTTCATCTTGGCTGTACTAGAGTCTGGTATGATATCACTTCCTTTCACTTTAGACTATTTTTCTCTCTTTCCCCTGCCTGCTGCTGATGCTGGTGTTCTGGCATGTTCCAAAGACAACTTTTGCATGCGTGGCCTGTCTAACTTTTATCCTGATTTAACGAAACGGATCCGTACTTCCTATCAGAGTAAGTTCTCTAAGATTAGGCAAATAGCTTTTTAAGTCATGCTTGAGTTAATTCCATACACCTGTGCTCAGTAATGTGTTTTTTTTAAAAACACATTCAGCATGCATGCAAGTTTTTCTTTTGTTTTGGAAATGCGACCTGACAATTTGACCAAAAGTTAACAATTATTTCAAATAGTTATTGTTGTATGCCCATGTATTCATTGTTTCACTGTTTATTTCAAACCATGTCCTGTTATCCCAGAAGTCATTGTCCTTTGTTTAGAGGTAGAAGAACCATGTTGTCTTTGCAAATAATAAACCTGATGTGCCAGTTCCAATAATGTTCTGGAAACCTTGTGCCTTTAGCCAATTTATAAAATTATAGCCAGGATTACAATATTTGCTTCTTTTATGCAGATTTCTTAAGTATTCCTAATTTCTGGAATATACAAAAGCATACTTTTAATAGCAAAGATGACTAGAGTAAACAATTCCAAACATTGGTGCAGAAGGTATGGGGAGTGAGGGCAGGATTGGAGGTGCAGATAATACTCATAATATTCTTGGTGACTGTTCCCAGTGGGTTATTCAGTAATACGTACACTTTGGTCTTAAACTTTTTCAGACTTACCAGCTTCTAGAAACTAGTAGAGTCACAGTAAAACTTTGCTGATGTGTTCACTGGCACATTCGCCTAAAGAAAGTCGGTCCTATGAAATCCTTAACATTTTTGTGGGTATGTTCACAGGATAACTTACTTTTTCCCCCCATAACATCGCCTAGTTTTCTACTCCAGCAGGGCATGTACTTCGTGGGTGCATCTTGGTGCCTTGAGATAAATATTTTTTTTAATTGTCTATTTCTATCTTGCTGGATCGAGTTCAACCAAACCCTTTCCTTTAAAGTCTCTGGGTGTTTTTTTAACACCCAAACTTCTAAATCCAGTTTAACCTTCCTAACCTGCAGTCTCCTCACTGTGTGTAACAATCTGTCCATTCTTAATTTATATCTTCAAATACATTTTCTATTGCTGTCTAATAAAAACACCTTACAAGTATGTTACCTTTATAATTGACTCATATCATCCACTCTCTGAAAGTGCCCTGCTCAAAGTTTACTTCCTACTATAAACCTTCCCTACTGCCATCACAACTTAATTATGCCAATTATTTTATTTAAATGCTTACAGTGTACATAGTACTTGTGTACAGCAATGTGTGAACCATTTTGTTGGCACTCAACTTGTGATTACTTTTATGCATATGCTCTGACTTTCAGAATGCATGACAAGAATCTGAAGATCACATAAAATTCTTAGTATCTTCTATACCCACAAGTATGAGCTCAGCAAGAGAAAATTATCAAGTCCTGGAAATCAGATTTTGTAAGGTCTTCTCATGACTTGTTTTTAAAATTGAAGTCAAATATTCGTGAAGTATATTTCTAAATATTAGGAATATAAACAATTTCACTTTATTATAATGGAGACTATAATTGTGTTCATGAATTATATTTCTTAGCTTTCAGAAAAGCGTTACTACATGTCCCTATTTGAGAAAATTTAATCCATTTCCATTGAGTATATTCTATTCTGCGATTATACTCCAGTTTTAATATTATATTACTAGTGCACATTATAACCCTTTGAGGCACATACTTATTAGTGGAACCCTTTAATATCACAACTAATTTTTTCGTCTTAGTCTCTCAAAGTATATGGAGTTAAGTGGGAAATAAAAGTGACTTGATAAGCCTTCCACCATATGATTCTAAGTAATTCGAAGTTGCAGGTGCATTAGAAACCACTTTTCTCTAAAGTCCATTTTGTATTTTACTGTATTACATCAATTTTGCTCTTGAAATGAGATCACATTCTACTTTGAACTCAGCCCATTCACTGTCACTTGATAAGAGAAGTTAGACTCCAAGGAGTTTATCCACATAATAAAAATTTATAGCTTAAAGGAAATCTGTTTTTACAGATTGTGATTTATGAAAGTGGTAAAATGCTTTAAAAAGAATAGCAGCCTGGGGGTTTGAAATCTGTATCAAGTTCTACTTCTTAACTGTATATTACCTTTGTAATCTTGAGTAAAACATTTATCTGCTCTTTCTTCTTAGATATAAAATAAAAATATAATCCCTTCCTTCAATTAATCTTTCTGGAATAGTGTTGATAAAACCAAACCACAAAGAGGTTAAATAACTTGACTTTGTATAGTGATTATTTCTACTTCTGAAAAATGTTGTAATAAGCACTTACTAAAGGAAGTTCAAAAGCTAGAGTTCCAGGTAGAGTGCTGTCAGAAAAATTACCTGTGCATCAAATACTTGTTATACAATCAATGGGACATAGTTTGTCAAGTCTCTTTCAACTACATGGTACTTTCAGAGTGTGGAAGATAATAGATCTTGAAAAATAGAGAAAGGAAGACTAAGAACTAGCAAACAGACAAATATTTTTTAAAAGGAAATGCTTCATGAATGAAGGTGTAAGATAACAAAAGCTAGAAAAATTAAATGGGAAAAAATTGTTCATTCAAAGAATATTCTATGTCTAACAGTTTAGGTACTAATGATGAAGTCAAAAAGGTGGGCCTATGTTTGAGAGTTGTCAGGGAACAACCTATCTGGAGTAAACATTAGTTTTAAAAACTAGGCAGAAACCAAACATGCAGCCTCTATAGAGATGATATGGATAATCCTTGAAATAGCACTCTTTGTCTGAATGCCTAAATATGAAAATAGTGAAAAAACTACATGCCACCAACAAATGACTGCAGAGAGAAGATATATATATACAGTAGAATATGATTTGATAGTGTAGATGGAACTTGAGATGATTATGCTAATTGAAATAAGTAAAAGACAAGTACAGCTAACTTCTCATATGTGGAATATAAATAACCAAAGCAAAAAAAAAAAATTAGGAAATCAAAAGTATCCCAGACTCTGAAAAATATAATTATTACCAGAGTGGAGTGGGAAAGGCAATAGGGGTTGTAAGCAGATTCACTCTGACAGTGGGAATAGCAGTAAAACTTTGTTGGTAGGTGAAATGAGGCTAATACACACATAGTGTAGAAAATCAATTAAAGTTTATAAATAGGTATAGAACCATTGGGGATAGTCATAGATTAAAAAGTAATCAGACAAAATTTTGTATCTAAGCTTCCAACCATGATATAGTAACATAATAGATGCAACTACGGTTTTTAAGATACAAGACATTAAACAAAACAGCCACCTTGAAAAATGAAATGAAGCTTACAACTATTCATAGATTGTAATAAACAAAGGTAAAATCTAGCAGGAACCAGTCAACTTCCTAACAAGTGGGAGGTGAGATACCAAGGAGACCAGAGAAGTAGTTCAGATTCCCTATGAACTCACAAAGGGAAGATACTAATCAGCATATAAACATAATTAAATCAGCCAGGGACAGGTAAAAAAACTATCTGAAAGGAATAGAGGAATAGTGCCCAGTCACCACCTTCCCCCCACCATCAAGATTCAAAAAAAATTATAATTCATATCCACAGCTAATTAGTACTGGAGAGTTTAACCAGTATAGTCAGGCAAAAGAAAAAAGTCATCTATATTAGGAAAGATTACCTTTTTTCATAGACAACATTTTTAACAGGTTCCTTGAACTGAGGTTATTCCCCACAAAATGTGGCTTAAGTCAGTAAAAAACACAAGTTTATCTATTCACAATCTGAAATTAAAATTTTAAAATACTTTTTATAATGGCATCAGGCAACAGATGTAAAAGGTCTACATTTTTAATAACCTAAAAACATTGCTGAGAGAACTAAAGTATTTTTAAAAAAACAATGATTATACCATTTGTGCTTCAGAAGACTCAGTATTATTAAGATATCTATTCTCTCCCAATAGATCCACAGTCCAATATAATCCTAATAATGATTTAATTAGTTTCAATAGAAAATGAGGTAGGGGCATAGAGGAGAACTGTATAGAGCCATCAAAAATTTCAACCATGTAGTCCCATCTATTTATCTTTCCCTTCACTACATCAAGTTAAAGAGCTTCTGTACAGCAAAAGAGACATTACTAAAACCAGACAGATCACTAATTGGGAAAACATTTTCTCACACAAAAGTAGTGATAAAGGACTGATAACAAAAATATACAGAGAACTGATGTTTATTTTTTTGTAAAAAATAAACAACCCCATCAAAAAATGGGCAGTAGAGCTAAAAAGACTTCTCCAAAGAGGAAATGTAGATGGCCAACAAGCATATGAAAAAATGTTCAACATCACTCGTAATAAGGGAGATGCAAATTAAAACCACAATGAGATACCACCTCACCCCAGTGAGAATGGCACATCTTCAAACAACTAGCAACAACACATGTTGGCGAGGATGTGGAGAAAAAGGAAGTTTCCTGCACTGCTGGTGGGAATGCAAACTAGTACAACCACTATGGAAAACTGTTTGGAGGTTCTTCAAACTGCTAAACATGGAGCTTCCCTACGACCTAGCAATCCCACTCTTAGGTATCTACCCAAAAGACATAAAAACACTGATTGGAAAAGATACCTGTACCCCCATGTTTATTGCTGCTTTATTTATAATTGGAAAAGCATGGAAGCAGCCCAAATGCCCAAAAGTAGATGACTGGATAAAAAAGATGTGGTACATATATACAATGGAATATTACTCAGCAGCCAAAAAAGAGAAACACATGTCTTTTGCAGCAACTTGGATGGAGCTGGAAAAGATCATGCTTAGTGAGATAAGCCAGAAAGAGAAAGAAAAATACCAGATGGTTTCACTCATAGCAGGAGTATAATGGACCAGGCGAGAAAATAACAAAAATAATGAACAACCATATACCAGAGACATTTTGTGGGGGTGGAGTGGGGAATGGGGTCAAAAGTGGGGGAGGGGGGGAGTGCACGGGATTATGGTGATGGCACACGGGTGATGGGAAACCTGCGGGGATTACAATCGAGATGGAAAAAAAATGTACAAAATGTTGTAAAAATAA